ATACATACAATTTTCTGTCTGCATATACGCCTGCACACCAGAAGAGGGCGCTATATCTCATTATAGATGGTTGTGAGCCACCATGTGGGTGCTGGAAATTGAACTCAGGACCTCTGGAAGAGGAACCAGTGCTCTTAACCTCTGAGCCATCTCTCCAACTCCATGTTTGATAGTCTTAATAAGAGAAGATAATCTATAGGCACTTAAAATATTTATATATATATATATATCTTGTGTTTAAAAAACATTATTTAATTGTATGTGTGTTGAAATAAGATTTCCCTTTTGAGTTTAACAAACTGTTTTTGTTTTTCAAGACAGAGTTTATCTGTGTATTCCTGGCTGTCCTGGAACTCACTCTGTAGACCAGGCTGGCCTTGAACTCACGGAGATCCACCTGCTTCTGCCTCCTGAGTGCTGGGATTAGAGGCATGCGCCACCTTTGCCTGACTGAGTTTAACAAATTCTTTTTTTTTTGGTTTTTTTCAAGACAGGGTTTCTCTAGTTTTGGAGCCTGTCCTGGAACTCGCTCTGTAGACCAGGATGGCCTCAAACTCACAGAGATCCACCTGCCTCTGCCTCCCAAATGCTAGAATTAAAGGCGTGTGCCACCACTGCCCGGTAAGTTTAACAAATTCTTAAATGAGTTTTTTTTAAATTGGGGTACAGTTTTGTAACAGAAAGAACTAAGTTAAACATGTACTGTTCAATGCTTTACAATATTGTACAACCATTATTTCTGTGTAGTTCCAAAACATTTTCATCACCCTACAGGGAAATCCTCTGTCTAGTGAGAAGTAACTTCCTTTCCCTCTTTCCCATGCCTAGCAACTTCTAACCTGCTTTTTGTCTCTATGGATTTGCCTGTTCTGGATGTTTCATATGATTGGAATCATAGAATATCTGACCTTTAATATATCATTTTTTAGGTATCCCACATTTTGTTTATTCACAAACAATTATTATTTTGTTTATATTCACAAGTGTGTGAACATTTACATTTCTGCTTATAGCTATGGTACCTAGTGATGCTGTTGATGTTTCTGTCGAAGTTATTGTTTGAATGCCTATTTTTCGGTTCCTTGTGTATATGCCTAGGAATAAACTACTGAATTTTATGAAAATTCTGATAACCTTTTGAGAACCTACTAAATTGCTTACTACATCTGTACTATTTCACATTCCCATCAGCAGTGTGTAAGTTTTAGTTTCTCTATACTTTTAATTTTCTTCTTCCTGTTTAATCTTTAAAAGGAATTACAGTCATGCTTGTAGCATGAATCTTAAAAGTTCTTATTAATAAAATCAAACCTGGTGCGAGTTATTGGGGTGAATGCTGGAAGATCAGAGAGACAGAAAAAGCCACAGCTACCTCACCTTGCCAGTTCCTCAGCTGATCCTGTTTCCTCAGACTGGAAGCTTCTGAGTCCTCATCCCGAATGAATCTCAGCTGAACTGTGCTGCTCAAAAGCCTAAAAGCTTAACCAGCCAGTTCCTGGTCCTCACGCCTTATATACCTTTCTGCTTTCTGCCACCACTCCCTGGGATTAAAGGCTCGCTTTCTGGGATTAAAGGCGTGAGTCACCGTGCTTGGCTGTATCCTTGAACAGATGGATTTCTGTCTCTGGAATGCTAGGATTAAAGGCATGTGCTACCATTGCCAGACCTCTATGTTTAATATTGTGGCTGTTCTGTTCTCTGACCCCAGATAACTTTATTAGGGTGCACAATATTTTGGGGAACATAATACCATCACACATGCTAGTAACCTTAGTGTAGTAAGTTGAGGTGAGGTTTAGTTGTTTGGAGGGGGACAGGGTTTTGTTGGTTGGCTTTTTTCTTTTTCTGTGGTACTAGAAAGCAAATCCAGAGCCTTGTACATTCTAGGCAAACACTCTACCGCTGAGTTTGATCCCTATCCAAATATGAGTTTTTATATACAATCTTTCCTTCTACAAATTACTATGTGTTGAAAGTGTTGTTAACTACAGTTATCAGTATGTTAAAGTCTCCTGGTATCTAGTAATTAATTGTCTCATAACTTAAGAGTATTTCACTGCATCAACATATTCTTCCATAGAAATACAAATTTGAGCTAAGTTCATTGGAGAAACACTAACTAACATTGAAATTTCTTATTTGCTGTAGAAAGTTCTAGTTTGAACACAAGTAAGAAAATTTTTATATATGGTTTGTTTGGTTTTTTGTTTTTTTTGTTTTTTTGTTTTTTTTGTTTTTCGAGACAGGGTTTCTCTGTGTAGCTTTGCGCCTCTTCCTGGAACTCACTCTGTAGCCCAGGCTGGCCTCGAACTCACAGAGATCCGCCTGGCTCTGCCTCCCGAGTGCTGGGATTAAAGGCATGCGCCACCACCGCCTGGCTGGTTTGCTTGATTTTAATTGACTATGAAAAAATGACAAAATTGCCAGTCAAGATGATGCATGCTTTTAATCCCAGCCCCGAGGAGGCTGGGACAGGGGGTCTTTGTGAGTTCAAAGCCAGACGGGTTTACGAAGTGTGTTTGACACAGTGAGACCTCCTTCTCCAAACAAACAAACAAACAAACAAACAAACAAACAAACAAAACCAAGAGAGAAACAAGCAAACAAGAATAAACAAGAGGGCTGGAGAGATAGCTCACAGGTTAAGAGGACTGGCTGCTCTTCCAGAGGTTCTGGGTTCAATTCCCAGCAACCACATGGTGGCTCACAACCATCTGTAATGAGATCTGGTGCCCTCTTCTGTCGTGCAGGCATACATGCAGGCAGAACACTGTATACTTAATAAATTGATCTTTAAAAAAAAATTATAAAAAAAAAGAATAAACAATAATGGTAAGTTTTTTGTTTAGTTAGTTTGTTTGTTTTTTGTTTTGTTTGTTTTGGTTTTTTGAGACATGGTTTCTCTGTGTAGCTTTAGAGCCTTTCCTGAAACTCATTCTGTAGCCCAGGCTGGCCTGGAACTCATAGAGATCTGCCTGCCTCTGCCTCCCGAGTGCTGGGGTTAAAGGCATGTGCCACCACCGCCCAGCAAGAATGGTAAGTTTAAAAGTTTAAACTATAGTGTATTTTATTTTTATTGAATATAAAGAATGACTAAGTATGAATAATTGAAGGCTTACCATGGGTCAAACACTGCATGTGAAACCTACAGCAAAACAACCAACAAATATTTCATAGGAAATCTCATTCTGCATTGGACTGCTTACTTTTAAGCAGTTGCTTTGTACTCTGTAAAGACTGCTGTCTTGAATATATACTACTTGGATCTAGTTATTCTTTTCTTTTTTATATACTTTTCCATTTCTTTTTTCTTTTTTCTTTTTTTTTTTTGAGCTGAGGATCGAACCCAGGGCCTTGCTCTTGCTAGGCAAGTGCTCTACCACTGAGCTAATTCCCCAACCCTAGTTATTCTTTATACCTATTTAAAACATGCCGACAAATACATCCTCCAGTTTTCTCTTTGTCTGTTTCTATTCTTCACAGAGTCACTGCATCCTGGTTCTTCTACTCCTTCTAGGTGTATTCTAGTTTGTGGACACCGTCCCAAAGGGTATTTGCTGTAGTTAAGATCTGACCCATAATATGGAAGCATCACATAAATGTTTACATGTTCATAACGGCCTTGTAATTTAGTTATGTGTGTTCCCATCTGCAAGTAGGTAAATGTGGGTTCCTGTAGGAGGGATTTTTCTCAAGGTCAGGTTAGTAAATGGAGGGACCGAGCTTCAGGCTCAGTTGAGATTTAGCTGCCCACAGAGAAATGTCCTTTTCATTAAAATAATGATCTCGCTGGGCGGTGGTGGCGCACGCCTTTAATCCCAGCACTCGGGAGGCAGAGCCAGGCAGATCTCTGTGAGTTCGAGGCCAGCCTGGACTACCAAGTGAGTTCCAGGAAAGGCGCAAAGCTACACAGAGAAACCCTGTCTCGAAAAACCAAAAAAAAAAAAAAAAAAAAAAAAAAAAAATGATCTCTACACTAATGATCTTAATTCCTGTTGGTTGCATAGAACTTTATATTTTACTAAGCACTTAGATTCCCATCAGGCTTCATAACTGACAGGGGAGCTACAGGGTGCTTTTTAACAATGAAGAAACAGGGCACACAGAAGTCAAGCAACCTGTTGAAGCCTACTGAAGACATGGTTTAAAGTCACATTTTAAAGCAAAATATGAAGCCGGGCTCAGTGGTGTACACCTGTAGTCCCAACATTTAGGACGCAAGAGGAAGATTGCCATGAGTTCAAGGTCAGCCGCAGGTACTGCCTTAGTTATTTTTCTATTGTTGTGATAGGAAAGCCCCTCAAAGCCTGCCCCCAGGGACACGTGTTCTCCAACAAGGCCACACCTCCTAATCCTTCCCAAATAGTTCCTTCAACTGGGGAACAAGTATTCAAATGTGTGAGCCTATGAGGGCCATTCTCATTCAAACCACTACAAACAGCTTCATGGAAAGATCCCCTTCCTTAAAAAGAAAAAAGAAAAGACAAAAAAGAAACTAATATAATCCAAAGTTCTAGTTCTGTGTGCTTAAATACACTGTCTTGTTCTGTTATATGGTTGATATTTTATATATTTTTAATTAGGTGTGAATGTTGGGGGTAGGATATGTGTGTGTGTATGAATACAGATACCCTCAGAAGCCAGAGAAGGTGTCAGATCATACAGAGCTGGAGTTACAGGTGGTTGTGAACTGCATGATGTTGATGCTAGGACTCTGAAAGAACAGTGTATACTCTTCATCAGTGAGCCATTTTTCCAGTGCCTAGTTGATATTTTAGTAATTAGGACCATACCTGACAAGTATTTTAAGTTCAGATAAGATAATCTCTATGTGATCAAAACATGTCATTTATGACTATCACAAATTGATTTTTTTCTCTAATTTCTTTTCATGCAAAAATATTACTGATTTGATTATATAGCAGTATAGTCTTTCTAAAGAGTATTTTCTAAAGAGTATTTTGTCAGTATTAATAAAATACTTTTCTGTTTTCTTTTAGGTCCACCTCATTCATTTAATCGCGATGAGACAATAATCATTGCTTTGGCATCAGTCTCCGTATTAGCTGTTTTGATAGTCGCCTTATGTTTTGGATACAGAATGTTGACAGGTAAAGGAAAATACTTTTTGTCTCATTTAGCAAACATGCCATTTAATCAGAATTTATTTTCTTTAAAAATTTCTTTTACATTTATTTGTTTCCTTATTTATTGTATAATGAGTGTGGGGGGAATCATCCATGTATGGAGATCAAAGGACAACTTACAGGATTGGTTCTCTCCTTCAATCATGTGGATTCTAGGGACAAACTCAGGTCATCAGGCTTGGTGGTCAGCACCCTTGTCAGCTGAACCATCTTGTCAGCCCTTCTGTTTCTTTTTTAAAATCTCTGTGGAAAATGTTTCTACAAACAAAAAACCCTATGCCATAGCTTCAGCAAACAGTTTCCTCGGTTTTTACAAGAAGTTTTGTAAAACATCATTTTCATTTCTGTGTGTGTGTGTCTGTATGTCGTGAAGTGTGTGCTCCTGAAGAGGCCAGAAGATAGCATTGCACCTCTTAGAGCTGGAGTTACAGGTGCTTGTGAGCCACCCAGTGTGAGTAGTGGGAAGTGAACTCAGCTCTTTTGAAAGAGCAGCAAGTTCTCTTAACAGCTGAGCCATCTCTTCAGCCCCAATAAGAAGTTACCCAAAATGTCTGTCACCCAACTGCAACGGTTATTACTTACAGGCAGTGTTACCTAAATCTAAATCCCCACTCACTGCTCCTTTTATACCACTGAATTCTTTTAATCAAAACACAGCTACCACAGATATAAGCACTTTAGCAGCATCTCTATGATATAACAACTTAAAAACTTTTTAATGAAAAAGCCGCCAGGCGGCTTAAATCCCAGCACTCAGGAGGCAGAGGCAGGTGGATCTCTGTGAGTTCGAGGCCAGCCTGGTCTCCAGAGTGAATTCCAGGAAAGGCACAAAGCTACACAGAGAAACCCTGTCTCGAAAAAACCAAAAAAAAAAAAAAAAAAAAAAAAAAGAAAAAGCCAGTAATTTCTCATCAGGTATCTGGTCAGTTCTAATCAATTTTAGATATATGATGGGTTGTCTAGGAAATCAGCACTTCATTCATTTGAATAATTCTATTAAAATTTTCTTGAAAATTCAGTATTAGGGTGTAGCTAGAGTTTTCCTGCCTGGCCCACAGTCAGGGCAAATCTCTCACCCGCCAGTCCCACGGCCACTCAGACCCAACCAAGTAAACACAGAGACTTACATTGCTTACAAACTGTATGGCCGTGGCAGGCTTCTTGCTAACTGTTCTTACAGCTTAAATTAATCCATTTCCATTAATTTATACCTTGCCACATGGCTCGTGGCTTACCGGCATCTTCACATGCTGTTTGTCATCATGGCGGCTGGCAGTGTCTCTCTGACTCAGCCTTCCACTTCCCAGCTTTATTCTCCTCCTTGTCCCGCCTATACTTCCTGCCTGGCCACTGGCCAATCAGTGTTTTATTTATTGACCAATCAGAGCAACACATTTGCCATACAGAACATCCCACAGCATTAGGGTTTTACACTTTTAGTACTGAGTCCTCATGGAATTATTTCACAGAATTCTGCCCTCTTGCAGTTCGTTGTTTAGTGAGTTGTCTCAACTGCTGCTGTAGCTCTTCTTAACTGCAATATTAAAGGTGACATTTCCATGTTGCTCTTCTAGGAGACCGAAAACAAGGTCTTCACAGTATGAACATGATGGAAGCAGCCGCGTCGGAGCCTTCTCTGGACTTGGACAATCTGAAGCTGCTGGAGGTGGGTTGTGATTAGACTGTTGGCTGTCCACTGTTCTCCCCTGCTTTCCTAACTAGTACTGTCTCTTCTGAGAAGTCTTTCGGGGCCTGGTGGTGCACACCTGTAATCCCAGTAGTCAGGAAACAGAAGCAAGAGGGTTTCCTCAGGTTCCAGGACAGCCAGAGCAACATATTGAGACCATTTTAAAAGTAAAGTGGAGGGAGGAGCCAGGCTGGGTGCACTCCTTTAATCCCAGCACTGGGAGGCGGAGGCAGGTGGATCTCTGTGAGGGCCAGGCCAGCCTGGTCTACAGAGTGAGTTCAGGACAGCTTAGAACTGTTACACAGAGAAACCTTGTCTCATAAAACCAAAGGGGGAAAAATAAGTGGAGGAGAAGGTCTAAGGTCTAAATGATGTGCAGTTTACCATTGAGAGAAGTACCAACTAATGTAGCTAGAGTTTTCCTGCCTGGCCCACAGTCAGGACAAATCTTTGTCACCCGCCAGTCCCACAGCCGCTCAAACCCAGCCAAGTAAACACAGAGACTTATATTGCTTACAAACTGTATGGCTGTGGCAGGCTTCTTACTGACTGTTCTTACAGCTTAAATTAATCCATTTCTATAAATCTATACCTTGCCACGTGGCTCGTGGCTTACCGGCATCTTTACATGCTGTTTGTCATCGTGGCGGCTGGCAGTGTCTCTCTGACTCAGCCTTCCACTTCCCAGCTCTATTCTCCTCCTTGTCCCGCCTACACTTCCTGCCTGGCCACTGACCAATCAGTGATTTATTTATTGACCAATCAGCAACACACTTGACATACAGACCACCCCACAGCAAACTAAAACATGGAGTTTTGCCTAGGATTTTATTTTGTGTGTGTGTGTGTGTGTGTGTGTGTGTGTGTGTGTGTGTGTGTATAATTTTGTTTTTGAGACAGGGTCTCTGTAGCTCTGGCTGCCCTGGAACTTGCAATATAGACCAGGGTGGCCTCTCGAAGTTACAACAGAGTTTGAGGCCTGCCTGCCTCTTCCTTCTGAGTGCTGGCACTAAAGGCATGTGCTTAACTATATTGGCTACTACTTTTCTCGGAGGGCTGTGTTTGTTTCGTATGGTGAACTTTGCCTCGAAGGAATGATACAAACAAGGTTAGGCATGGTGGCCCAGGCCTTTAATTCCACTTCCTTGGAGGCAGAGGCAGGTGGATCTTCATGAGTTCGAGGCCAGCCTGGTCCACATAGAGTGTTTCAGGACAGCCAGAGCTACATAGTAAGACCTTGTCTCAAAAAACAAAAACAAAAAATGAACAAAATAGTGTATAAAATACAATAAATGTGTATAAAGAAATGACAACAGATTCCCCAACCTATTTTAATGAAAATTCCCCAGAAGCCCCAAATAAAGAGAACCATTTACATTTTTTTGTGCAGTGAGTAGATTTTTATTCTCTCCTAGATACTGTGTATCTATAATACTGTGGAACTCCCAGACTCTTACTAATTTCTAGTGTTTGCTGGGGTTTTTTTAATTTATTTTAATTTTAATTTTGTGTGTGTGTGTGTGTGTGTGTGTGTGTGTGTGTGTGTGTGTGTGTGTGTACAGTGCCTGTGGGTGCTCGAGAGCGGTATTGAGTCTCCCGGAACTGGAGTTGTAGGCAGCCGTGAGCCACTTGCGGTGGGTGCTGGGAACCGAACTTAGGTCTTCTGGAAGATTAGTGTGTGCTGTCAGCCCCTGAGTATCTCTCTCTCCAGCCCTGTGTGCTGGTTTGTGTTACTTGTATTTGTAAGCAACTGACTTGGTTGGACACTTGCCACAAGCATGTCACTTGAGCAGAAGCTCAGTTCGGTTCTCTATTTAGCCAGAGTCTGCCCTGTGTTCGCCGAGTTCCCTTGTCCCAGCTTTCTGCTTTGGAGGCTCTTCCCACACTCTATAGAAGCTCTCATTGCTGCAGATTACATCCTCTGGTTCGAAAGACCCTCTTCCACCATTTTTAGTTCCACTACTCAGAGCTGATTTTAGTCTGCCTTCAAGCTAAAACCATAGGAACGGGTAACTCACCGCGTGCATTCCTTTTTTCTATGCCTTGGTGCCTTTTAGACTCTTAATTGCTTTTGCTTCTTTCTCAGTGTATTTAGGTTTTTCTTTTCATTCTGTCCAGAGTGTTTAGCTCTGATCTATTGGAAGATAGTCAGGTAGGAGCTTCCTCGGTCATACCATATGCGGACGTCGGTTGCTTCTTGGTAGTAGAATGAACTGAAACCAGAAGAGCCACTGCATATAGTGGGAGTTAGAGTTTGTTTGTTTGTTTATTTGTGTTTTACAGTTTAATCGTTCAATTTTAATATGAATTAATAACTTGCCTTTTTAAAAACAAACTTACAGCTAATTGGACGGGGTCGATACGGAGCAGTATATAAAGGTTCCTTGGATGAGCGTCCAGTTGCTGTGAAAGTATTTTCTTTTGCAAACCGTCAGAATTTTATAAATGAAAAGAACATTTACAGAGTGCCTTTGATGGAGCATGACAACATTGCTCGCTTTATAGTTGGAGATGAGAGACTCACTGCAGATGGACGCATGGAGTATTTGCTTGTGATGGAGTACTATCCCAACGTAAGTTCTTCATAAAAGAGATGCTGTCATTTATTGTACGTTCCACCAGATTTTTATAAACTTTGCTTGTTTATAAACTTGTTATTAAGTGTTCTGCAATGAAATAAGGGTCTCACGCCAGAATTTGAATCAAATACATCACTCAGCCAGGTATCCTGGCACCCAGAAAGAAGGCTAAGGCAGGAGGATTGTAAATTAAGACCTGCCTGGGCTGTTATTCTAAGACCCTATCTTAAACAACAGCAAAACACTAATAATTCTCTTTGTTCATCCCTCTTTCTCACTTTCCTTCTTTTCTTCACTCTTCTTTTTCCTCCCTCTGCCTTCCCTTCCTCACCCGTCCCTCTTCCCCTCTCTCTAACTTTCTGTTTCTTTTGCCAGACCTTTTTCGTCAGACCTAGCAGTACTTTGATTGACATTCACTCTGGTGTAAGTTTCCTGCCTCATCAGAAGTCATTGGAATTTGTGGTTGAATACTTCAAGATGAACAGCTACATACATACAGTCATCCTTAGTATCCTCAGGCAGTTGCTTCTAGGATACCTTCCAAACACACACACACACACACACACACACCCCAAAATTGACAGCTGTTCAAGTCTCTTATATAAAATGCCATGTAGCGTAGCATTTGCATATAACTCTTTCATACCATTTCTTGATTATATAGTGTAAATGCCATGTTAATAGTTGTTATACAATGACAAGAGAAAATAACTATGTACAGATGCAAAGGTTCTTTGGGTTATTATTTGTTTTCTTGACTCTATTGGAGATAAAACCAGGGTGTAGGTATACTAAGCAAGTACTTTTCCACCAAGCCATATCCCCATCCGTAATTATTTTTTATATAGTTAATTGAACCCTAGGATGTGAAGCCTGCAGTTATAGAGGACTGACTGTGTAAATTTACAAGAGATATATGTGTTCTACTTATAAACCATAACAATATTGTTTGTAAAATTTTGGTTTAAAAATTTTTCCCCAGTTAATCTGATAGTCCAAAGAAATGTTTAAAAGGAAATAACTATCTTTAATTTTAATATTTGAAACCTAAAAAAATGATATTTAAGTTCCTCCTTTCCCCTGTCCTAGTTAGGATTAATATTGCTGTGATGAGACACCATGACCAAAATCAAGTTGGGGAGGAAAGGGTTTATTTGGCTTACACTTCCACATCACTGTTCATCATCAAAAGAAGTCAGTACAGGAACTCAAGCAGGGCAGGAACCTGGAGGCAGGAGCTGATGCAGAGGCCACGGAGGCTGGCTTGCTCATCCTCCTTTCTTGGTTTTTGTGGGTGTTATGTTTCCAGACAGGTTCTTACTATGTAGCCCTGCTGTCCTTGAACTGACTATGTAGACCAGGCTGGCATGAAATTCACAGAGATCCACCTGCCTCTGCCTCCCAAGTGCTGGGATTAAAGGTGTGGGCCATTGTAGTTGGCTTGTTCATTTATTTGTTTTGTGGTCATCCTGCTTTTTTATAAAACCTCAAGACCACCAGCCCAGAGGTGACCGCACCCACCATGGGCTGGGCCCCCTCACATCAATCATTAATTAAGAAAATGCCCTATAGACTTGCCCGCAGCCTGATTATATGGAGGCATTTTCTTAGGTAAGTTCCCTCTTCCCAGAGGACTATAGTTTGTGTCAGAGTTTACATAACACTAGCCAGCACACCCTCTCTCCTCTTTTCTTCCCAGAAATACCTTGCCATTACCATTTGCTCTTCATGGAATCCTAGCCTATGCAAATCCTTCCTAAGGTTGCCTAACTTACCTCTTCTTGTTGAAGCGCATACATTTCATTGTTTTGGTATACTTTTTCCTTTATATAGGGATCTCTGTGCAAATATTTGAGTCTCCATACAAGTGACTGGGTAAGCTCTTGCCGGCTGGCTCATTCTGTGACTAGAGGATTAGCTTATCTTCACACAGAACTACCACGAGGAGGTAAGATAAATGAAATTTTAATCATATTTTAGAAGACCCATAATTTATATTAAAATTGGAATATTAACCAGCTATATTCGTTATGTAGAGGTAGAGTGTATCTCAGTGATAGAATGCTTCCTTAGCATGCGTAAGGCCCTAAATTAGATTCCTAATATCATAAGACCAGACAAGGAAAATCCTAAAAATTTTTTTCAAACCTCTTGAAGTCTATTTGTGAACCTTAGGTTAATACTCTTTAGGTTTTTCGAGACAGGGTTTTTCTGTGTAATAGCCCTGGCTGTTTCAGAACTCACTTTGTAGACTAGGCTGGCCTCAAACTCACAGAGATCCACCTCTGCCTCCCAAGTGCTGGGATCAAAGGCGTGCGCCACCACACCTATCTCAGGTTAATACTCTTAACTAGGCTATATTTTCCTTGTGTTTATTTTGTTTATGTGAATAAATTACAGTGTATTAGTTTTAATATTACATGGATTTTTATTCCTTAAGTTGTAATACTCAAACATCTTTTTATAAATTAATATTCTGCTATCTAGAGCCAGGGGAGGGAAGAGATAATAGTGGCTTTATTAATAAAGAAAATTTTTTTCTTTCTCATATACATATAAGAATCTCAAGAGAGCCAGGTGTGGTGACTCATGCCTTTAATCCCAACAATCATGGGACAGAGGCTGGTAGATCTGAGTTTGAGGCTAGCCTAAGTCTACATAACAAGATCCAGGCCAACCAGAGTCATATAGTGAGATCCCGTTTTTTTTTTTTTGTTTGTTTGTTTTTTTGTTTTTTTCTTTTAATCTAAAGAGAGGCCAAGTAAGATGGCATAAACTAATTATAATCCTCGTACTCAGGAGGTTGACACAGGAGGATTGTGAGTTGAAGGCCGACCTGGGTACCTAGTGGCTCTAAGCCGCTCTTGATTCCATAGTGAGCCATGTCTCATAAAAGGAAGAGGAGGAAGACGAAACAGCTAAAGAGAAGGTTGAGATTACAGGCCCGTGGTAGAGCACAGGGCACTTGACTGGTGTGCATGAGGCCTTGGGTTCCATCCTCAGCAACAAACAAAACCGGAACCTACAGCGAGAGTGTGGAGGACTGGCTTGGCACCATGGTGTTGGACACAAAGCTCCTGTGTTTTTTCTCTATCATCCTTTGCATGTGGCTTTCATTTTCATAGTTATTTCATTGTCCATTGTGCTGTATTCTAGGTGGCAAGGGAAAAAAGAGGGGAAAGGAGTTGTCCCTTTCCATCTCCAGACGTTCCTCTTGTACACGTTTTGTTTCTTAGAACTCATCCACACTTACCCACTGGAGACCAAAAATATAGTTGTTGTATTTTGTTTTTGCTGAGTGAATTGCTGTTCAGGCAATGTTGGGCTCTGTTATAAATAGGAATGGAAGACAGTCTTGGCCAGTATTTTGAAACTGCTTTACATTTCCTGTTATAACTTAAGTCTTCAGCTTTCATGCATTCTTTTACTAGTTGTTCAAAGCACCTCTTTTAAATAATTTACTTTCTCACTTTGTTTCAATATATATATACTCACATCACAAGCACCCCTAAATTAGTGTGGCTGTGAAAATCCTGTCTTTGTGCTTTCTCAGGTTTTCACTGCCTGTACCACACTTTGTCATACTGTAACCTGTCACTGTTCCTGTAGTTTCCCTGACCTCTTTAGGGAGGAGACTTTAATGTATCCGTTTCTTAGATCTTTGTTCCATTATATAATAGCATGGATCATCTTTTCTAGCTGATGCTTCATATATAAATAATTTCTTCTGAATAATTTATTGGCTCATTTACTTGACATCCTTCCCTGGGTACAAGATTGACCTGTTATTGCCTGTATCAGCAACTGGATACTCCTGCTCCAGTGTTTTAGCACATTAGCCATTGGACCTCGTTTCCTTACTCTTAAATATTATAACTCCTCTTAGAAGCTGGCTTAAAGCAGAATTTAAAATATCATCCTAATTCCCTTTTCAAGGTTTGCATGATTCAGCAAGATTTTAAATCAAACACTGGCTTCAATTTTTTTACTTAAACAAAGCTATTTTTCTGAAACAGTGGCTCATGCCTTTAACCCCAGCACTCAGGAGGCAGAGGTAGGCAAATCTCTGTGAGTTTGAGGGCAGCCCACATAGTAAATTCCAGGACAGCTAGGGCTACATAGTGAGACCCTATCTTGAAAAAGCAATAATAAATAAATAAATAAATAAATAAATACATCCTGCTGAATCCATTTAGTGTTGCTCATATGAGTCTGTTTTTTAGGGCTGACCACTTGGTATTAGATCACCAATCAGGGGCTCATTCTGTGGGAGAACTGGCTCTCCCTCTCTCAGCAGTCAGTACTTACCTATAGCTCTTCATCTAGAATGAAGCTGTGTTCCCCCATTTTTATGGCATGTCATCTGATGTCGTCATTGTTCAGGTCTTCTTTTTTTTTTCCCCTCATTTTTATTTATTTATTTATTTTCTATTATCAGCTTGATACAGTATAAATTCTTATCCTAATAGTGAAATGTTTGATTGAGGCTTGCCCAGTAATGAGTAAGACCCAAACTTATTATAAGCCACGGTCATCCTAGGGTTCCCCTGCTATGTAGCCTCCCTGGTTCTGTAGGTTGCAGTCTGATTGTTCTTTGCTTTATATCTAGTATCCACTTATGAGTGAGTACATATGTTCAGGTCTTCTTTAGGCTACCATATTGTTGGGGTCTCATGGGTGCAGCTTACCTGTCCTGTATAGAAGATAGTCTCCTACAAGGTGTCCTGGTCCTCTATCCGCCCTTCTTGGAATGTTAAGTCTTAGGTGTAGGTGTTGTGCTATGCTTTTATCAGTTGGATCTAGGCACCTCATGGTCAGGTCTCCACATTTTGACCAGTTGTGGCTTTCTGTAATGGTCTCCATCTGCTGCTTTTTGATGCTCTTTGATCATAAGTGATAGCTACACAGACTAGCCTGATTTACATGAAACCCTGCCTGAAAAACCAACCAGCCTACTAACCAACCAACCACAACAATGAAAACAAAACAAAAAAGAAAGAAATGAAGAGAAAAAACAAGTTTCTGCTACACTTAGAGCTGTGTTTACTATTAGATTCAGTTGACTACTCAGTGCTTGATTAACTCTGTGTGTAAGCCGGGAGGTAGTGGCGCATGCCTTTAATCCCAGCACTCAGGAGACAAAGCCAAGGTGGATCTCTGTGAGTTCGAGGCCAGCCTGGGCTACAGAGTGAGTTTTAGGACAACCAAGACTGTTAACACAGAGCAACCCCGTCTGGAAAAAACAGGAATTAAAAAAACTCTGTATGTAAGAGGAATTATTAGAAAGTAGTAATATTGATTAACTCTGTATGTAAGAGGGGTTATTAGAAAGTGGTAATACGTTGAAATTGTGGGGTTTTGGTTTGGATTGAGTTCAAGCCTTGCTGTGTAACCCATGTCAGTGTCAAACTCATGATCTTCTTGCACTCGTGATCACGTGGTAGGATTCAGGCACGTGCCTTGACAACAAGCTTTCTTTTCTCCACCCCATTTTTTAGGTTACTAATGGGTGGAAAATAGCGCCATCTTTTATTTATATTTGTGTAGCCCCCATTATCTGCATGTTAATTTAATCTCCAACATTAATGAGTATTTGAAATTATTCAAACAGATCATTATAAACCTGCAATTTCCCATCGAGATTTAAACAGCAGAAATGTCCTGGTGAAAAATGATGGCACGTGTGTTATTAGTGACTTTGGTCTGTCCATGAGGCTGACTGGAAATAGACTGGTGCGCCCAGGGGAAGAAGATAATGCGGCTATAAGTGAGGTGGGTCTATACGCGTCACACTGCCGTGCTACGAAATCCTAACACTCAACAGTTACCCTGTGTACTCTAGCCACAGGCTGTTCGCAGTGAGAAAATTAGGAAATGCCAAATACGTGTAAAAGTGACCAGTTCATTTTGAAAATTCCAGCTCATTTAACAGACATTAGGGAAAAGTATCTAGAAATTAATCTTTTGGTTTTTGTTATACAAGGGAACTTATTAGATTGGCTGGTTTTGTTTGTTGCTTTGTTTTTTAATTTGTTTGTTTGTTTATTGAGGCAGATTCTCTTTATATAGCCCAATTTGACCTTGAGTTTACCATTGTCCTCTGAGGGCTGAGATTTCAGGCAAGTGCTGATTCCAGACCCAGCCAGGAATTGATTTTTGAAGCAAGAGTAAGGTTACCAAGTTTGAGATGGGAAAGTCTGCTCTGTGGTTATAGTGCTAACATATCCTTTCTGGCTCTTTTCTCTGCCTTCACATACATAGTTTTATGTGCAGATTTGCAATTTTTAAAAATATTCAATGATGTAATATTGCTTCGCAATTTTCTCGCCACATTTGATAGTTTTCGTTTTTTACCTTATTGACTACACTGTGAAAGTGGGTAATGCATTAGATAGTTAACTACAGAACAGCCTGCAGCCTTATGGGGTTTTGTTTGCTTGCTTGGTTGGTTTTGTTTTTGTTTGTTTGTTTGTTTGTTGTTGTTTTGTTTTGTTTTTCGAGACAGGGTTTCTCTGTGTAGCCCTGGCTGCCCTGGAACTCGCTCTGTAGACTAGACTGGCCTAGAACTCATAGAGATTTGTCTGCCTCTGCCTCCCAAGTGCTGGGATTAAAGGTGTACATCACCACAGTCCAGCCAGATTTTTAAAAGTTGGCATAGGAACGTTTACTTTATTCTTTCATTAATGAGTAGTTTTTACTAGGGCAAATTTAATACAATTTAATTATTAAGAAGAGAGTTTTTGTTTTGTTTTTTGGTTTTAGTTTTCTCGAGACAGGGTTTCTCTGTGTAGTCTTGGTGCCTGTCCTGGATCTCGCTCTGTAGACCAGGCAAGAAGAGAGATTTTAAAGTACAGGTATACAGGGCTCAGTGACCTGCTTAGGGTTGGATAGTCTCCTTAACAGAAGTAAATTTTACATAGGATTTTTATTTATTTATTCATTTTTGGGTTTTCGAGACAGGGTTTCTCTGTGTAGCTTTGCGCCTTTCCTGGGATTCGCTTGGTAGCCCAGGCTGGCCTCGAACTCACAGAGATCCGCCTGGCTCTGCCTCCCGAGTGCTGGGATTAAAGGCGTGCGCCACCACCGCCCGGCAAAGATTTATTTATTTATTATGTATACAGTTTTCCATCTGCACATATCCCTGCAGGCCAGAAGAGGGCACCAGATCTCATTACAGAAGGTTGTGAGCCACCATGTGGTTGCTGGGAATTGAACTCAGGACCTTTGGAAGAGCAAGCAGTGCTCTTAACCTCTGAGCCATCTCTCCAGCCCCTACATAGGATTTTTCGTCTGATGTTTCCCTTCAGGATATATTGTATTATTTTATTTATTTATTTATTTATTTATTTATTTATTTATTTTTATTTTTATTTTTTTTTTGGTTTTTCAAGACAGGGTTTCTCTGTGTAGCTTTGCGCCTTTCCTGGAACTCGCTTTGGAGACCAGGCTGGCCTTGAACTCACAGAGATCCGCCTGCCTCTGCCTCCCGAGTGCTGGGATTAAAGGCGTGCTCCACCACCGCCCGGTTTATTGTATTATTTTTTTTTTTTTTTTGGTTTTTCGAGACAGGGTTTCTCTGTGTAGCTTTGCGCCTTTCCTGGAACTCGCTTTGGAGACCAGGCTGGCCTCGAACTCACAGAGATCCGCCTGCCTCTGCCTCCCGAGTGCTGGGATTAAAGGCGTGCTCCACCACCGCCCGGTTTATTGTATTATTTTTTTTAAAATACCACTCTTGACTTACCAGGTTGGCACAATTCGCTATATGGCACCGGAAGTGCTAGAAGGAGCTGTGAACCTGAGGGACTGTGAGTCAGCTCTGAAGCAAGTAGATATGTATGCGCTTGGCCTCATCTACTGGGAGGTGTTTATGAGATGTACAGACCTCTTCCCGGGTAAGAACTGCTGTGAAATTTATCAGGGCTCTTTTGTACGTATGTATGCATGTATGTATATGTTTGTTTGTTTGCTTTTTATAGACAGGCTTTCTCTGTGTAGCCCTGGCTGTCCTAGAACTTGCTCTGTAGACCAGGCTGGCCTAGAACTCACAGAGCTCCATCTGCCTCTACTTCCCAGGTGCTGGGATTAAAGGCGTGCGCTACCACCACCCAGTGCTTTATCAGTTTCTGCAAGTGATAACAGTTGTATCTTCTTTCTCACTTACAGTCAACAATTCAGTTGGATGTAATAATCTTTTTTTCCTTTAAACCTTCAGTTCAAAGCCGGGCGGTGGTGGCGCACGCCTTCAATCCCAGCACTCGGGAGGCAGAGGCAGTCAGATCTCTGTGAGTTCGAGGCCAGCCTGGGCTACCAAGTGAGTTCCAGGAAAAGGCGCAAAGCTACACAGAGAAACCCTGTCTCGAAAAAACAAAAAAAAAACAAAAAAAAAACTTCAGTTCATTGCCATCTGAATACGGAGTATTCAGAATAGAAACATCATTAACAGCACGAAAATAAATTAGATTTTTTTTTTTAGTTAAAAATGACCCCAGGTTTTCATCTAAGTAGTTTTATTCCATTAGTAGGTCTTCAGGCCTCATTTCAGCTCCAGGGAGATCCAGCACCTTCTTCTGGCTTCCCCAGACACCCACATACATGTGGCATACAGACACACAGACATGCATAAAATTAGTTTATAATTCGAATACATGATTAAATGAACCAAGGATTATTTAACTTAGTAAGAAAGCCAGCCACTTTCTTTTTTTACATAGCATTTACATGTTATTAGGTATTGTAAGGAATGCAGAGACGATTTAAAGTACATGGGGTCATTTGCATAGGTTATATGCAAATACTGTATCATTTTATAAAAGGAATTTTAAGAGGGGCATGGTACATATGCCTATAATGCCAGCACCTGAGGCAGGGGGATCACTGCAAGTTGAGGGAGGTCAGCCTAGTTTGATTCAGGGTTTTGTTATTGGTGTTTGCATGGATTGGAAAGTCAGCCACTTTCTACTTGAAAGTATGTTTTTCTGGGGCCTTTAGAGAAGGTTCAGGAGCTAAGAGTGTGTTCTTCCAGAGGTCCCAAATTCAAGCCCCAGCAACCATCTCAGGCGACTCACAACTGCCTGTAACTCCAGCTCCAGGAGGTCCAACTCCACTGGTCCCTCGGGCACCTGTACCCACATGCACATATCTACACACAGATGCACACACACATCCATATAACTAAAGACAATAAATGTTTTTAAAGTATATATTTAATGAATTAGAAGTACAGAGAGTTAATCAAGACATTTTTCTGGAAACAGCAGTAATTGCACACCTTTTTGGTTTGTTTTTGTTTTTTTTTCACATTGTAATATAGTTTTAGTTTTAGAAGGATGTCTAATTTACTCCTTTATTATATTAGCATAATATAGTCAGCAACCTGTTTTTATTTTATGTTTTAAGTTTTGTTTGTTGTTTGTTTAATACAGGGTCTCACTGTATAGCACTGACTTAAAAGTACTTTCTATGTAACCCAGGCTAGTTTCTAACTTGCTGAGCTCCCCATGCCTCTTCCTCCCGAGTGCAGGGGTTTTTGTTTTTGTTTTTGTTATTTTGGTTTTTCGAGACAGGGTTTCTCTGTGTAGTTTTGGTGCCTGTCCTAGATCTTGCTCTGTAGACCAGGCTGGCCTTGAACTCACAGAGATCTGCCTGCCTCTGCCTCCCAATGCTGGGATTAAAGGCATGCGCCACTGCCACCCCGGCCTGAGTGCAGGTTTTACAGTCATGCACACCAGTTCAGGAGACGTGTGTGTGTGTGTGTGTAATATAAAATAGATTATTACTGCTGGCAGGAGTAAATTGGCACAGACACTATAGAAATCAATATGGAGGTTTCTTTGAAATGTAAAAATGGGACTACCATATGGGCTGGCAAGATGATTTAGCTGGTGAAGGCTCTTGCTGCACAGACCTAATGACCTGAGTTCAATCCCCAGAACCCATGTAAAGATGGAAGTAGTAACTCTCTAAACTTGTCTGTCATGGGCACACACACATGCACACAAAATAAATAAAACTTAGTAAGAACAACAACAAAAACAACCCTGCTATATGACCAAGCAATTTAGGTGGATTTTTCTGTCCTGCTCCCAAATAACCACATGGAGGCTTATTAATTATGAAAGCTTGGTCAATAGCTTAGGCTTGTTTCTAACTAGCTCTTATAACTTAAATTAACCGATATCTTTTAATCTATGTTCTTTCTCGTGACTCGGTTACCTTTACTTTGTAATGCCCATGCTGCTTGCTCTGCTTCCCTGATGTCTCCTCCCTTCTTCTTCCCAGCATCCTCTGTGCCTGGAAATCCTGCCTAGTTATTGGCCATTCAGCTTTTTATTAAATCAGTCAGAGTGACACATCTTTACAGTGTACAAAAAGATGATTCCACAACACAGCAATACCACTTTTGGTATATTTTTAAATCCCATGATTAAGATATTTACCCATTTCTGTATTTGCTGCAGTAATCATAATAGCTAAGAACTGGAACCAGACAACGGATAAAAGAAAATGTGTGTGTGTGTGTGTGTGTGTGTGTGTGTGTGTGTGTGTGTGAGAAGTGGAATTTTATTCAGCCATGAAGAAAAATGAAATCATGACACTACTAAAAAAAATGCATGAATCTGGAGAAGATTGTGTTATATAAAATAAGCCACCTCAAACATATACTGCATGCTTTCTCTCATATGCTTATTCTAAATACTAATTTTTATTTATGGAGGCAGGTGTGGGCTTAGGTTTATGAGAGGAGAGGAAGAGATCTCGAGGGAAGGAGAGAGTAATTATAGTACATGTAACATGTGAGTAGAGGAGACCAAGGGGTAGGGATAGGGAGAGTAAGTGATGGAGGAGGGGGGAGGGGGATAAATACGAAGAGCAAAGTATGTCTGGAAATGCCAAAGGAAACCCATCCCTGTCAAGGATGGTGGCACACACCTTGAATCTCAGCACTTGGGAGGCAGAGGCAGGTGTGTAGCTGAGTTGGAGGCCAGCCTGGTCTACAGAGTGAGATCCAGGACAGCCTGGTCTACAGAGTGAGACCCTGTTTTGGAAAAACAAAGGAGGAGGAGGAAGCAGCAGGATCAGCGCATTACTTTGTATATTAACTTTAAAAACTAATAAATAAAATAGAAAGGTTATAAAAGGTTAAAACTCAGAGGCAAATATTTTTGTTTCGTGATTAGAGTCTCAGCATTATGAAAAGAGTTCTAGAGATGGATAATGCTGATAGTTGTATAACGGGAACTGTATTTTATGCCACAGAACTGTACACTCAAAAATTATCAAAATAGTAGATTTTTGTATTCTGTATTGTTTTACAACAATAAAAAATAAGAATAAGGAAATTACATTGAGATGCTTACAGTAATTGTACTATTGCTGTACAAATACCTGAGAAAAACAAAAGAAATTTTGACTGAAGTTTTAGAGATCTCAGTCCGTAGTTGCCTTGTGTGTTTGGGCAAATCATAGCATCAGGAGCGTGTGGCAAAGGAGCTTTTTCATGGGAGATGGGAAACAGGAATAGTCCAGACAATACATACAACCCTGGGGGTACCCTCCCATGACCCACTTCCTTCTACTGATCCCACTTCTCATATTTTACCACCTTCCAATAATGTCGCATATTATGAGTCAGCTCTCACGATCTAAGTATGTCTAGATATACCCTCACAGACACCCCAGAATGTTTGACTCTCCTAGGCTTTTCTTAATCCAATCAAGTTGATGATCAAGATTAATTAAATATTATAACACCTATAATCTTGCCATAGAAGTAGATAAGAAGAGCACATTAAGAATAAAGTCAGGGGCTAGAGAGGTGGCTCAGTTGTCAGGAGCACTGACTGATCTTCCTGAGAACCCTGATTCTAGTCCCAGAACCCACATGGTGACTCACAACCACGGGTAACTCTGGATCCAGGGAATCTAATGCCTTCTTCTGGCCCCCACTGGCACCAGGCCCACTTAGTTCACAGCATCCATGGAGGCAAACACCCATACACACAACATACAAGTTAAAAAAAAAAAGAATAAAGTCAGGCCGGGCGGTGGTGGCACATGCCCTTAATTACAGCACTGGGGAGGCAGAGGCAGGTGGAGCTCTGAGTTCGAGGCCAGCCTGGGCTGTTACATGGAGAAACCCTGTCTGTAAAAACAAATAAGCAAAAAAAAAGTAAATTCAGCAGGTGGTGGCGGCACACACTTTTAATCCCAGCACTCGGGAGACAGAGGTAGGTGGATCTCTGTGAGTTTGAGGCCAGCCTGGTCTACAAAGCGAGTTTCAGGACAGCCAAGGCTACAAAGAGAAACACTCTCCAAAAAAAAAAAAAAAAATAATAATAATAAATAAAAAATAAAAACATAAAATAAACATACTGAGCCATACGGAAGACCCCATAAGACTAACACATAAAAATTCAATGGCCTACAGCAGTGGTTCTCAACCTTCCTAACACTGAGACCCTTTGATACAGTTCCTCACGCTGTGGTGACCCCCAACCATAAAATCGTTTATTTATTTATTTAGGTTTTTTGAGACAGGGTTTCTCTGTGTAACAGTCTTGGCTGTCTTGGAACTCTCTCTGTAGACCAGGCTGGCCTCAAACTCACAGAGATCCGCCTGCCTCTGCCTCCGCCTCCCACCCGAGTGCTGGGATTAAAGGCATGTGCCACCGTGCCTGGCTCTGTAAAATTATTTTTGTTGCTACCTCATAACTATAATTTTGCTACTGTTAGGAATCATAATATAACTATTTTTTGAAATAGAGGTTTGCCAAAGGGGTCACAACCCTCATATTGAGAACTGCTGGCCCAGAGAAATCTTGGCCAAGGACACGAGAACTACAGTCTTCCTGGCTCCTCACCACTGCTCTAATGTATTAAAATAACGAGATAGATTAGAAGGGATGGGGTTAGCCATTTCCGTTCTAATCTTGGCTTCATCTCTTCCTTGGAAAAGTCACTTAACTCTTGTGCGTTTCAATCTTCCTGTCAGCAGAACAGTGACGTCTGCCTTCCTTATCTCACTGGCACAACAATAAAAGACTTATAACGACCCGATGAAAAAAACATCCATAAAACATGGCAAGATTTTGTTTCTATTTGAAAAGTCAAAACAATCCATACGTTCTTACTCTCTATCCATACTTTTAAAATTTGCAAAAATTAATTGTATATTTTTATAATTTATGCAACAGAGCCCAAGTTAATTAGAATACTGCACTGAATTTAAAAACAATAAAGACATTTACATGTATGCTTGAAAGGATTTAATACATATGATTTCTGTGCTTATTTGATACTAGAAATACCTCTGCTAGTCTGTCCTCTATGATAATTAGAAATTCTGTCATCCTTTCTGTAAATACACAGGTGAATCTGTCCCAGAACACCAGATGGCTTTTCAGACAGAAGTTGGCAACCACCCCACTTTTGAAGATATGCAGGTTCTTGTGTCGAGAGAAAAGCAGAGACCCAAGTTCCCAGAAGCCTGGAAAGAAAACAGCCTGGTAAGAAAACGAGGACTTCTGACTAGAACAAGATAAGTCTCAATGTTCTTGAAGCAAGAATAGAAGCCGCCTAGCTGTGGTGATTCATGCCTGTACCCCACCACTGGGTGAGGCAAAAGAATCACACGTTCAAGGCCAGCCTGGGCTTCAGTAAAACACTGCCAAAGACAGATTGGGGGTGGTGGTGTAGAGGTAGCTATATAACCAACTTCTTCTAAAAAGTTAAATAAAGTAAAAACATCAGAATTGTGTTTATATAAGCATTTCCTATACAACAAAATACCAAGCTTGTACTCACAAGAACCACACATACTTTATTCTTTACTCTAAGCTCTTGCCATTTGGGAAAGCTTTTTTTTTTTTTTTTTTTTTTTTGGTTTTTCGAGACAGGGTTTCTCTGTGTAGCTTTGCGCCTTTCCTGGAACTCACTTGGTAGCCCAGGCTGGCCTCGAACTCACAGAGATCCGCCGGCCTCTGCCTCCCGAGTGCTGGGATTAAAGGCGTGCGCCACCACCGCCCGGCAGGAAAGCTTGTTTTTAAAGCACCGTCCAGTGGGTTCCCTGGATCCTGGTCATCTTTCTTTTTTGTTCTTTCTAGGTTCTACCTAGAAGAAACATTTCTTTTAATCTTTGTCTTTCTCTTATAGATAATTTCCTTCTTTTAATGATGTTCCATTTAAGAAATGTATATTACTGTGTGTGTTAGGTGTTAGACATTACAGATCGTTGCATATTTCAAACCTTTCCATCTTAGTATCACACATGAGTGATAAGTTGCCAGAGTAATAGTCTCAAGGTTGTGAAGCTGTCCTCCGGCCTCCAGTCTTGCTCATTGTTGGGGCAGGTGAGTGTATGCTGGGGTGCACATTTGGAGGTCATCGGACAACCTGGCAGGTCTGTTTTTACCTTCTGCCCTGTTGAGGGAGATAGAAAACCGTCTGTTTTTCTTTCTGCCACACTGCTTACGCCAGAGTACCTGTCCATGAGCTTCTAGGCAGTCCTGTCTCACAGTACAAGTGCTGGGATCGTGTGTTCATCACACCGAGTCCTTTTCAAATGGGTTCCAAGGATTGAACCCAGAACTCAGGGTGTCAGGCTGGCAGGAATAGTGTGCTTTTACCCACCAACCCATCTCACACAGACCTCCATTGCTTTTTGTTTTATGTTTTATCATTTTCTTTTCTTTGTTCTTTTGAGACAGGATCTCATTAAGCCCAGACTGCCCTACACTCCATACATAGCTGAGAACAACTTTGAATGCCTCATCCTCCTGCCTCCACCTCTCACATGTTGGCTGTCTTAGTTACTGTTCTGTTGGCGTGCAGAGACGCCGTGATCAAGGCAACTTATAAAACATTATTTGTTGGCTTGCTTAAGTTCCAGAGGGTGAGTCCATGACCATCATGTCAGGAAGCATGGTGGCAGACAGACAGGCCTAGCACTGGAGCAGTAGCTGAAATCTTACATCAGATCCATAGGCAGCAGGCAGAGAGAGTGAGACAGCCTGCTGTGGGCTTCTGAAACCTCAGAGCCCACCCCTAATGACACACGCCCTCCATCAAGGCCACACCTCCTAGTCCTTCCCAAACAGTTCCACTAACGGAGGACTAAGCATTCAAACATAGGAGCCCATGGAGGCTATTCTCATTCAAACCACCACATTGGGATTACAGGCATATACCACCACACCCAGTTTTGTGCTTTGTTTTTTGAAAGATTTATTTATTATGTATAGTGTTCTGCCTGCATATATGCCTGCACACAAAAGAGGGCGCCAGTTCTCATTACAGATGGTTGTGAGCCACCATGTGGTTGCTGGGAACTGAACTCAGGACCCCTGGAAGAGCAGCCAGTACTCTTAACCTCTGAGCCATCTCTCCAGCCCTGTGCTTTGTTTTTGTTTTTCTGTAAGCTGTTAAGACTTATGTTGCCATTGTAATTTTGAAATTTCATTTGGGTATATGTTAGCATAGATCTTTTCACACATTTTTTTTCCTGGATATTGAATAGATTTTTCAGTTTGAAAATCCAAAACTTTCCTCAATCAGGAGTTCTCTAGTGTTTATTTTAAAATTACTTCTCTCCTTACATTTCTTTGTCCTTGAATTCTCACTGAACTAATATTGAACCACCTGATACTCCTCGTCTGATTTTCTTTCTTGTAGTTCCCATCTGTCTTTTGTTTGGGAAGCAGGGCTGCATGAGTCCGTACTAACCGCATAGCTGAGGGTAACTTTGAACTCCCGCCTTCACCTCTGAAGTGTGTGCGCGCAGCCGTGCTGCTTACGTGGTGCTGTGACCTGACTCGAGGTCTCGTGTCCGCTAACACTACCAGCCGAGCTGAATCTCCAGCTCCTGTCTGGCTTCCATCGCTGTCCTCGTTGCTCAGCGTTTGCTCACCCACCTTTTGAGCCAGCCGTTAAGTTCTCACAAGCAAATTTTTATTATTTCTAGGAGGTTGTATTGCTTTATATTTCCTCAGTGGTCTCTTCTTAAGGTAGTAATGATGATTACTTCTGAAGGTATTTAGTACATCTTTATACTTAGTACAAATTAATTTTCTTAACTATAATTAAAGAACAAACATGAAGAAATTTTGTAATTTAAATAATTTTACTATGTATTTTCCCATCCCAGTTACAGATCGCCTCAGTAAAATAGAATATTTTCATTGTGTCCTATCAGAGAAAAACTAGAGAGACCCTGTGTATTTCCTTTCAGATGGTGTGATCTTTATCTTATTGGTCATCTTTGTTAATAGATGAATCTCAAAGCTAGCTTATGTTTCAAATGATATTGGAATCTTTAAGCATATGGCTGTTGAAGAGCTTGTTAAATTCATATTCACAATTGCCTCCAAATTGCAGTTTTTGCTCTGCAAGCTTGGGCAGTTCTTTAAGGGGCCCTGGTAGTAGGTTAGAGGATGAATTGTATTCTACCAGGATTTCCCAGAGCTGCCAACCTCATGAAAAATGTCTATGAAATCTGAAAAATTTGGTATGATAAATTGCAACTTCATCTTTTCATCTTCCTTAAATTGTTTCATTTCACTTCAACAATTTTGAAGTATTTGTTGGCAACCCTACCATTGTGAGATATATAACATACACAGATTTACCTGAAAACTTTTTACTTCTAATTTAGATGAAGTTGCTAAGTAAGGGATTTTTAATACTTGGTTTACTTCCAACAAATCCATTTAAACTTGATATGGTACAGCCAAAAAAAACCCAAAAAACCCCGTTTCTCTTCAATAGCAATACAGTACAAGAGTTAGGGAGGAAGTATATAGTTTATTAAAATGACTAAAGGGTTACTAATTCTTTAAAAAAGGAAGAGCTTTTTTTTTTATTTTAAAATATGCAGTTTAGGTGGGCATAGTGGAGCATGCTTTTAATCCCAGCACTCAGTAGGGAGAGGCAAGTGGATCTCTGTGAGTTGGAGGCCAGCCTGGTCTACAGAGTGAATTCCAGAACAGCCAGAGCTACATAGTGAGACCCCGTCTTGAAATAAAACCAAACCAAAACAAAACAAAAAAAGCTTATTGACTCTTATAGTTACTTTTAAATTTCATTGTGAGAACCCCATTTAACTTTCTTACAGGGCATGTCTACAACAGTGACTTCCTCAGATTTGATATATCTGGGACTATCTTAATTTCTTCATTATTGAAGAATAACTTTATTTGATATGTAATTCTTCTTAACAGTTGTTTTCTCTTTCAATGCTTTAAATATACCATACCAGTGCTTTCTGGTTTCCATTGAGCAATGGCAGTTGATCTTGTCGGGGAGTCTGTTTAGTTTCTCATTCATTGTCAGGATCTCTGTGCAGTTTTTCGAGACAGGGTTTCTCTGTAGCTTTGCGCCTTTCCTGGAACTCTCTTTGGAGACCAGGCTGGCCTCGAACTCACAGAGATCCGCCTGGCTCTGCCTCCCGAGAGCTGGGATTAAAGGCGTGCGCCACCACCGCCCGGCTCTGTGCAGTTTTTTAACTTGTCTTACCATGGAGCTATGGGGTTTATTCTGCTTAGAGTTCATCAGGTTTCTTGGGTCTATGGATTCACTTACTAAATTTGAGGAGTTTCAGAGTGTGTGTTCAAGTGTTCCTCCTGCCCTTTTCTCCTCCCCTTCAGAAATTCCTATTTTATGTATCTAATATGTTTGCTCCTGTGCTGGGAATTACTTCTCAGAAGTCTTCTGGTTTCTATTCCTTTTCCCTCATTCTTCTGACGCCTGTCCTCAGACTGAATAACTTTGTTTTTCCATCTCAAATTCACAGGTCCTTTGTTCTGTCTGCTTATTATCTGCTGTTGAGTCATTCAAATAAATACTGAAATTTGTTATTGTGCTTTAAAGTATCATTTTAAGTATTTTAAAAAAATAATGTCTATCTTTAATTGATTTTCTGTTTGTTAAAACATTACTTTAATCTTAGGGTGGGGTGCTGACGAGAAGGGTCAGTAGTTAAAGAGTACTTGCTGCTGTTGCAGAGGATCTGGGTTCAGTTCCCGGCACCTACATAGCAGATCAGAACTGTTCAAAACATTGGTTCCAGGGGTCTAGTGCCTTCTGGGTTCTGCGAGCCCCAGACACACACAGAACATACATCCATGCAGGCAAAACATCCATATACACAACATAAATAAATACAGTATTTTTTAATGATTTATTTATTTATTTTATGTTCATTGGTGTTTTGCCTGCGTGTTGTCGGTGTGAGGGTATCAGATTCCCTGGAACTGGAGTTACAGACAGTTGTGAGCTGCCATGTGGGTGCTGGGATTTGAACCCGGGTCCTCTGGAAGAGCAGCCAGAGCTCTCAACCACTGGAGCCAATCTCTCTAGCCCCAATAAATAAATTCTTTAAGAATTGTCTTCGTAGGCCAGGTGTGATGGGTGACACACGCCTTTAGTCCCAGAACTCAGGAGGCAGAGGCAGGCACATCTGAGTTCAAAGACAGCCTCGACTACAGAGAGAAACCCTGTCTTGAAAAAACAAAAAAACAAAAATGATTTTGTACATTTAGTTCTTCACCCATTGTTTTCTTAGTTCTTTGAGCATGTTTAAGGTAGCTCACTTGAAATTTTTTGATACCTCTAATGTCTGTACTTCCTTGATTTCTTTTAAGGTTTTATCTTCCTGTAAATAGACAATACAGACTTGGTTTCTTTGCATTCTTTTTATTTATTTGTTTGTTTTTAGGCAGCATCGCATGTATCCCAGTTTGGTCTTGAAGAACTTATTCTAGGATCAAGAATATCTTAAACTCCTGATCCTCCTGCCTCTACCTCCCAAGTGCTAAAATTTCAAATATAACACTATATTTGGCTTCCTTTGTAATTTCTTTTTGTTTGAAACATTTGGAGCTGTAGATTAGCTTACTAAAGTCCATAAAACCCAAATAAAGAAATAAATATTATAATAAATAATAAAATAAGCAGCCAGGCATTGTGACACACATCTTTAACCCAGCACTTGAGAAGCAGAGTCAGAGGCAGGGGGATCTCTGAGTTTGAGGCCAGCCTTGACTACAGAAAGAATTCCAGGACCGCCTGTCTCAAAAAGCCAAAACTAAATAAATAGATAAATAAAATAAAGTTAGGTATTTTGAATGTTGCAGAGCAAAACAAAAAAAATCTTAAGTATAATATTACATATACACACACCATGTAACACAATACAATAGATGGGTGTTTTATACACATTTTATACACCTGGTTCAATTCCCAGCACCTACATGGCAGCTCACAACTGTCTGTAACTCTAATTCCAGGGGATTTGGCATCCTCACACAGAGATACCTGTAGGCAAAACACCAATGTACACAAAATAAAGATAGATAAATCTTTTTAAAAGTCACCAAGATTAGCCAGGTGGTGATGTTGCACACCTTTAATCCCAGCACTCGGGAGGCAGAGCCAGGTGGATCTCTGTGAGTTCCAGGACAAGCTTCAAAGTTACACAGAGAAACCCTGTCTCGGAAAAAAGAAAAAGTTACCAAGATTGTGCTAACAAGAATTTTAGCCTAAATAGGCTTCTCAGATAAAATACTCATAGTAAATATTGCATGGTAAATACATACACACACACACGCACACGCACACGCACACGCACACGCACACACACACACACACACACATACACACTGAAATGTTCTTATTCACTTGAAGTTCAAATTGAACTTGGTATTCTGTATTTCCTTCGCCAGATTTGCCACCCTTAACCTATATATGTTTTTGAAGTAGAGTAAGTAAATATCAGAGCAAACAAAAAGCTTTTTTTAAAATGTGTGTTGGGGAGGGGTGTACACTGTGCGTGGGTGTGAATGTATTTGCGTGGGTGTGGGTATATGTGGAAGCCTGAGGTTGACATTGGGTCGTCTTCTGTCACTCTTTACCCTAATTTGAGGCAGGCTCTGTCATTTAACGTGGGATTGGTGCTGTGGCTAGTCTGGCTGGCCCCCTGCTCCAGGGATCCCCGTCTTTTCCTCCAGTATGCTGGGATTGCAGGTAGGCTGGCTTGCCCGTCGTCCAGCCTTTGTTTGCAACCTGAGGGTATAATCCCCAGTCCCCACGTGTGTGCTTTGCCCTGTGACCCATCTGTCCAACCCAGACGCAAAGCTTGAAGCTTAAAAAATCCTGGGGTGTGTGTGTGTGTGTGTGTGTGTGTAAGATAGATATGGCAAAATTGCATCTTATTTTTTAGTATGTTTTAAATTGCATTCATTTTGTGTGGGTGGTGTGCATGTGGGTGCACACGTTCTGTGGCGCCCGTGGAGGAAGAGAGGACGACCCGGCGCTCCCCTTCCGCCTTTACTCAGGCTCTGGTGGCCAAGCTTAGATCAGCAGGCGTGTGCAGCCAGTGACTTCACTCACAGAGCAGTCTCACAATGGCCCTGAAAACTGACTTTTGAAGTGCGCTATGAATCCGCACTCGTGGACCCCGGGCCTTGAGGAAACATGCTCCGCTATTGTAGTTGCTTAGTCCTTTGAGTAATTCTTCAAGGAGCTAAGTTGAAGCTTCCTTGTTTACTTACTCCTGAGCTTTGAGGGCCCTCATTTTTCACTTTTTTAGAAGAATATTTTAGTATATTTTTTAAAATATTAGTTTGGAGACTGTCATGGTGGCTGCCTTTAATCCAAGCACTAAGGGGCAGAAGCAGGTGGATCTCTGAGTTCGAGGCCAACCTGGATTATATAGGGAGTTCCAGGACAGCCAGGGTTACACAGAGAAAGCCTGTCTTAAAAAAAAAAAAAAAAACACCATACATACATACATACATACATATATATATAAACCTGATTTTCTTTGACATTTTAAATTAAAATCCTAAATACAGTTAAAAACAGCATGCTGTCTGATGTCTATTTTGTGTTATAGGCAGTAAGATCACTCAAGGAAACAATTGAAGACTGTTGGGACCAGGATGCAGAGGCTCGGCTCACTGCACAGTGTGCTGAGGAGAGAATGGCTGAGCTTATGATGATATGGGAGAGAAACAAGTCTGTGAGCCCAACAGTCAACCCAATGTCTACTGCCATGCAGAATGAACGGTAAGACCCTGGGGGTTTGCAGTTATCACATGCTGTTGGTAACCGAGACCACGGAAAGGACGGGAAATAAACACTAATAAATAAGCCTAATAGTGTGGTAGCTCATATAGTACAAGGGTGTCATTTTTCTTTCAATAGTCCAAGTCTTTTAAAAAATACATATTTTTTCTCTTTGTCATTATGTGTATGGAGGTGAGAGCAGGGATGTGCCCATGAGTTAAGGTGTCTGGGGGCATGAGATCCCTCTGGAGCTAGGATTTTAGGCGGTTGTGAGCTGTAGTGCTGTGAACTTATTCAGGTCCTCTACAAGAAGAATGTGTACTCTTAGCACTAAGCCTTCTCTCTAGCCCTCTGTTTCCATTCTTGTATGAAAATATTTATTTGGTATGAATACACGACAGAATCTGTAATTTTATATCTAAAGATACAGTTTTAAAGGACTCTTTGTTAGCTGGTCATGGTGGCACTCAGATCTCTTGAGTTTTAGGCCAGCCTGGTCTACAGAGCAAGTTCCAGGACAGCCAGGGCTATGCAGAGAAATCCTGTCTCAAAAATCCAAACGGGGAAGTAGGGGTAGAAATGAATGTGACTTAACCTTTAATGTTAAAGATAAAACATTTTCATAGTTGTAAAAAGTTTATAACTACTTCTACATATATTATGTGGTATGTCTTTTGTTTTTATTAGTGTTCTTTTATTTTTTAAAGCACGTAGAACTGTGCCTTTGCCCTCATATCTACTCCTGTTTCACTGGACACCAAGACTTTCAGACTGCCTCTCCAATACTCTTTCTTAAAGAATACAGTAATAATACTTCTTTCTACTCCACTGTGAATACTGACTCACGAGACATTTCCTTTGTTAGAACTCTAATTTTAGATCCTAAATAAAAAGGCCTTTTAGAGCTGAAGAGACAGCTCAATCACTGGCTGTTCTTGCAGAGGACCCAGGTTCAATTCCCAGCACCCACATGATAGCTCACTACCATCTAAAACCCCAGTTCCAGGGGCTTTAATGCTCCCTTCTGGCAGGCACATATGTGGTATGCAGACAAGATGCCCATACACTTAAAATAAAAATAAACATTCAAAAAAAAGAAGGAGGAGGAGGAGGAGGAGGAGGAGGAGGAGGAGGAGGAGGAGGAGGAGGAAGAAGAAGAAGAAGAAGAAGAAGAAGAAGAAGAAGAAGAAGAAGAAGAAGAAGAAGAAGAAGAAGAAGAAGAAGAAGAAGAAGAGTTCATGCATGGCTGGAGAGATGGCTCAGGGCTTAAGAACACTGGCTGCTCTTCCAGAGGTCCTGAGTTCAATTTCCAGCACCCACATGGTGGCTCACAACCATCTGTAATGAGATCTGGCGCCCTCTTCTGGTTGTGCAAGCATACATGCAGGCAGAACATTATACATTTATTTTTTTAAGACTTTTTAAAAAGAAATTAAGCCAGGCATGGTAGTTTATGCCTGTCATCTCAGAGCTTGGAGGCTGAGGCAGGAGATTTGCCAAAAGTCCAAGGGCAGCTTAGACTATATGATGAGTTCCAGGCCAGTCTGGGCTGCAGATTAAAACCCTGTCTCAAAAGTTGAAAAGCCAAAACATCCCTATAATTTGGCACTTGTAAGTAGATAAACTATATTTCTTGGTTCTGTGTTTGGGAGCAAAAATAACAACTTTAGTATTTTATCTAATACATATTTAAAAGTTTCAGAAAGATATCCAGGAAAATTATTACCAGGGGTCATAAAGATAAAAGTATACTTCATTCTTAAATCCCCCCCTGTTTTCTGTTCTCCTCTATAAGAACAATTTGTATTGTGTGTTGTTTGCACTATTTATAAACAGGTGGCATGAGCCTCAGCTGTATACCTTGCATATCACAAATCAAGCAAAGTAGAAAGAGACTAGCTGTTCTAAATAGACACCTCACTTGACAAGTATTAGAAAAGTCTTGTGCTTCCAACTTCCTTCTGTACTTCTGCTGCCCCATAATCTGTAAAACATGCAGTTTAAGCATCTGTCAGGAGTCTGATTTAGGGGCTAGTGAGATGGCTCAGCTCGAGCCGTGTTGCTCCTTCAGAAGACCCTGATTCAGTTCCTAACACCCACCCACATGGGGGTTCCTGACCATCTGTAACTCCCTCTTCTAACCTCTACAGGCACCACACACGAACATCGTGCACACATATAGAGTCAGCTGAAGCTCCTGCTTTAAATACGTTTGGATTCTTCCTGGCTGATAAAAAGAAACCCTGTGTCTCTCTTCATTTTCCCCCTTACGTTACTCACTTCTACTTGGGATGGCTCTTTTCCCCTCCAGTCTCTCCCAAGCTCCTCTTAAAGATACTTCATGCAGTAGTCTCTGTAGGCTCCATCTGACTGTGCCTTAGCCTCTCCATAGCTCCTTAGACTCCCTCTGTCGTTCCCTTGTAACACCTCTTTGCCTTCAGCTGACTCCCTGCTGGAATACTGTCATCTGTTAATGTTCCCAGTGTCTTGATCACTTCAGGAAGGCTGTCCCTGATGTTTTCTGTAATGAGATTTCAAATAATTATATAAAAGTCCAGAGCTGTCACTTCCCAGGAGTGATGGTGCCCATTGTCCTCAGTGACTGAAGAGCTGTCCTGAATTGTGGTTGGTTTTTTACTCTTGGAGGGCCCTCCACCCAGCTCCCAAATAAATACATAGAGCCTTATTCTTGCTTACCAATGCCCAGCCTTAGCTTGGCTTATTTCTAGCCAGCTTTTCTTAACTTAAATTGTCCTGTTCTCTTCAACTGTGTTTTGCCTCTGGACTTTTACCATTCTTTATTCTGTCTATCTTTCTTTCCTTCTTAGTCTGTGACTGGCTGGGTGGCTGAGTGACTGGCCCTGGTGTCCCCCTCTCCTCCTTTTCCCAATCCTTGCTCTCTTCCCTAGATTCTCTTCCTAGTCTCTCTCCTGCCAGCCCCGCCTAGTCTTTCTCCTGCCTAGCTATTGGCATTCAGCTCTTTGTTCTTTATCTAGTGTCGTCTTCTGCCTCATATCCCAGCTCCACAGCTTACACTGGAACTGGTCATATCCCAGCTCCACAGCTCACACTGGAACTGGCCATATCCCAGCTCACAGCTCACACTGGAACTGGTCATACCCCAGCTCCACAGCTCACACTGGAACTGGCCATACCCCAGCTCCACAGCTTACACTGGAACTGGTCATACCCCAGCTCCACAGCTCACACTGGAACTGGTCATACCCCAGCTCCACAGCTTACACTGGAACTGGTCATATCCCAGCTCCACAGCTCACACTGGAACTGGTCATATCCCAGCTCCACAGCTCACACTGGAACTGGTCATATCCCAGCTCCACAGCTCACACTGGAACTGGTCATACCCCAGCTCCACAGCTCACACTGGAACTGGTCATATCCCAGCTCCACAGCTCACACTGGAACTGGTCATATCCCAGCTCCACAGCTCACACTGGAACTGGTCATATCCCAGCTCCACAGCTCACACTGGAACTGGTCATATCCCAGCTCCACAGCTCACACTGGAACTGGCCATATCCCAGCTCCACAGCTCACACTGGAACTGGTCATACCCCAGCTCCACAGCTTACACTGGAACTGGTCATATCCCAGCTCCACAGCTCACACTGGAACTGGTCATATCCCAGCTCCACAGCTCACACTGGAACTGGTCATACCCCAGCTCCACAGCTCACACTGGAACTGGCCATACCCCAGCTCCACAGCTTACACTGGAACTGGTCATATCCCAGCTCCACAGCTTACACTGGAACTGGTCATACCCCAGCTCCACAGCTCACACTGGAACTGGCCATACCCCAGCTCCACAGCTTACACTGGAACTGGTCATACCCCAGCTCCACAGCTTACACTGGAACTGGTCATACCCCAGCTCCACAGCTCACACTGGAACTGGTCATACCCCAGCTCCACAGCTTACACTGGAACTGGTCATATCCCAGCTCCACAGCTTACACTGGAACTGGTCATATCCCAGCTCCACAGCTCACACTGGAACTGGTCATATCCCAGCTCCACAGCTCACACTGGAACTGGCCATATCCCAGCTCCACAGCTTACACTGGAACTGGCCATATCCCAGCTCCACAGCTTACACTGGAACTGGTCATACCCCAGCTCCACAGCTCACACTGGAACTGGCCATACCCCAGCTCCACAGCTCACACTGGAACTGGTCATATCCCAGCTCCACAGCTTACACTGGAACTGGTCATACCCCAGCTCCACAGCTCACACTGGAACTGGTCATATCCCAGCTCCACAGCTCACACTGGAACTGGTCATACCCCAGCTCCACAGCTCACACTGGAACTGGTCATATCCCAGCTCCACAGCTCACACTGGAACTGGCCATACCCCAGCTCCACAGCTCACACTGGAACTGGCCATACCCCAGCTCCACAGCTCACACTGGAACTGGTCATATCCCAGCTCCACAGCTTACACTGGAACTGGTCATACCCCAGCTCCACAGCTCACACTGGAACTGGCCATACCCCAGCTCCACAGCTTACACTGGAACTGGTCATATCCCAGCTCCACAGCTTACACTGGAACTGGTCATACCCCAGCTCCACAGCTTACACTGGAACTGGTCATACCCCAGCTCCACAGCTCACACTGGAACTGGCCATACCCCAGCTCCACAGCTTACACTGGAACTGGTCATACCCCAGCTCCACAGCTCACACTGGAACTGGTCATACCCCAGCTCCACAGCTTACACTGGAACTGGTCATACCCCAGCTCCACAGCTCACACTGGAACTGGTCATATCCCAGCTCCACAGCTCACACTGGAACTGGTCATATCCCAGCTCCACAGCTCACACTGGAACTGGTCATACCCCAGCTCCACAGCTTACACTGGAACTGGTCATATCCCAGCTCCACAGCTCACACTGGAACTGGTCATATCCCAGCTCCACAGCTTACACTGGAACTGGTCATATCCCAGCTCCACAGCTCACACTGGAACTGGCCATACCCCAGCTCCACAGCTCACACTGGAACTGGTCATACCCCAGCTCCACAGCTCACACTGGAACTGGTCATATCCCAGCTCCACAGCTCACACTGGAACTGGTCATACCCCAGCTCCACAGCTCACACTGGAACTGGTCATACCCCAGCTCCACAGCTCACACTGGAACTGGCCATACCCCAGCTCCACAGCTTACACTGGAACTGGTCATATCCCAGCTCCACAGCTTACACTGGAACTGGTCATACCCCAGCTCCACAGCTCACACTGGAACTGGTCATATCCCAGCTCCACAGCTCACACTGGAACTGGCCACCGCCAGGAGGTTGTTCTGTCGTTAGTCGTGCTCTTAAATGAGGATGCTTTGGAAAATGGACCAATTCTATGTTCTTTCATCACTTGGTTATTTGAACCTGGTTTATAACATATTGGTTGTGTATATACTATTGGAACTAGGGTTACAGGAATAAAAATAAATATACCCCATGGTTCCTATAGTTACGAAACAGTGTTAAGTATATGTATTATATTTTGTGGATATACATATTCATAAAGAATGTATTTGTTGATATAATAAAATTATAGGAGAGGTTTTTTTTTTAAGATTTATTTATTTATTATGTATACAGTGTTCTGTCTACATGTATGACAGCAGTCCAGAAGAGGGCACCAGATCTCATTAGAGATAGTTGTGAGCCACCATGTGGTTGCTGGGAACTAAACTCAGGACCTCTGGAAGAGCAGCCAGTGCTCTTAACCTCTGAGCCATCTCTCCAACCTGGAGAGATTTTTTAGAATTAACTCTTTTATGTATTTTTTGAGGTGGTTTTTGTTTGTTTTGTTTGTTTGTTTTTTGTTTGTTTAAGATAGAGTTTCTCTGTGTAGCTCTGCCTGTCCTGGATCTCACTCTGTAGACCATGCTGGCCTCATACTCACAGAGATCCGCCTGCTTCTGCTTCCAGAGTGCCAGGATTAAAGACATGTGCCACCATCACCTGGTTTGAGATTTTATTTTTATTTTATTTTATGTTTATGTATATGTGTGCTCCATATTCCTGCAGTGCCTGCCAAGGCCAGAAGATGGCATTGGGTCTCCAGGGACTGGGATTACGGGCATTTGTGAGCTGTCATGTAGGTGCTGGGAATCAGAGAGCAGCGGAGCCTCTTAACCACGGAGTCATCCCTCCAGCCCCTAAATTAACTCTTGTCAGCCAAAATGATGAGCATCCATAAAGATTCTATCTGGAACCACATGGATTTTTCACATAATCTTATAGATTTCATGTAAAAATCTCACAAAATTTGTATTCAACAAGCCACTAACACGTACTAGGATTTTGAAATAACCTCTTAAACGTGAGTCGAGAGTGAAATGGGGCTAGTGAGATGGCGTGGTGGTGAGATGCGTGAGTCGAGAGTGAAGTGGGGCTAGTGAGGTGGCGTGGTGGTGAGATGCGTGAGTCGAGAGTGAAGTGGGGCTAGTGAGGTGGCATGGTGGTGAGATGCGTGAGTCAAGAGTGAAATGGGGCTAGTGAGATGGCGTGGTGGTGAGATGCGGGTTTCTAAGCCTGACAACCTGGGTTCATTCCCGAGGCCCGCGTGTTGGAAGAGAACTGACTCCCACAAGTTGACCTCTGACCTCCACACGCACCCATAGGTACTAAATAAATAAGAGCAATAAAAGAATGAAAAGTGTAACATAAAAAGCAGTGGGACTTTGAAGTCTGTGGTGTTCACTTGGAGTAGACCGTTTGTCATAGTTTATGTTCTATGTCATGTCTTTATTTTTTCTTTCTTCAAGCAACCTGTCACACAATAGGCGTGTGCCAAAAATGGGGCCTTATCCAGATTATTCTTCTTCCTCATACATTGAAGACTCCATCCATCACACTGACAGCATTGTGAAGAATATTTCCTCTGAGCACTCGATGTCCAGCGCACCTTTGACCGCAGGAGAAAAGAACCGGAACTCCATTAACTACGAACGGCAGCAAGCACAAGCTCGAATCCCCAGCCCTGAGACAAGCGTCACCAGCCTGTCCACAAACACAACCACCACAAACACCACTGGCCTCACGCCAAGTACCGGCATGACCACCATATCTGAGATGCCATACCCAGACGAAACAAGTCTGCACGCCACAAATGTCGCACAGTCCCTAGGGCCCACCCCTGTCTGCTTACAGCTGACAGAAGAAGACTTGGAGACAAATAAGCTGGACCCAAAAGAAGTTGATAAGAACCTCAAGGAAAGCTCCGACGAGAACCTCATGGAGCATTCTCTTAAGCAGTTCAGTGGGCCAGACCCGTTGAGCAGTACGAGTTCTAGCTTGCTTTATCCACTCATAAAGCTTGCTGTGGAAGTGACTGGGCAGCAGGACTTCACACAGGCTGCAAATGGCCAAGCGTGTTTAATTCCCGATGTTCCGCCTGCTCAGATCTATCCTCTCCCCAAGCAACAGAACCTTCCTAAGAGACCTACAAGTTTGCCTTTGAACACCAAAAATTCAACAAAAGAACCCCGGCTAAAATTTGGCAACAAGCACAAATCAAACTTGAAACAAGTAGAAACTGGAGTTGCCAAGATGAATACAATCAATGCAGCAGAACCTCACGTGGTGACAGTCACTATGAATGGTGTGGCAGGTAGAAGCCACAGTGTTAATTCCCACGCTGCCACAACCCAGTATGCCAACGGGGCAGTGCCATCCGGCCAGGCAGCCAACGTAGTGGCGCATAGGGCTCAAGAAATGCTGCAGAATCAGTTCGTCGGTGAGGACACCCGGCTGAACATCAACTCCAGTCCTGATGAGCACGAGCCATTGCTGAGACGGGAGCAGCAAGCTGGCCGTGACGAGGGGGTTCTGGATCGCTTAGTAGACAGGAGGGAACGGCCGCTAGAAGGTGGCCGAACTAATTCCAATAACAACAACAGCAACGTCCCGTGTTCAGAGCAAGACGTACTTACACAGGGTGTTACAAGCACAGCTCCAGATCCTGGGCCGTCAAAGCCCAGAAGAGCACAGAGGCCCAATTCTCTGGATCTTTCAGCCACAAATATCCTGGATGGTGGCAGTATACAGAGTAAGTGGAGGGATCGTGGCGTGTCCTTAACCTTTATCACTTCCAGAGACAGAGTGACTGGGCCTGGGCAGTAATGGATTATTATAAAGTGGGGAAAATGGGCTTTGCTTTTCTTTCTTCTTTCTTTTCCTTTTGGTCATTGATAATTAAAAAAGCTACTATCACGATAGAAGAATTACCAACTTAATCTATGTTTTGCTTGATGGCTTCTTTATGATGTCGTTCACATGCTTGTTATGACAGATGAGATTAAACAATACTAGTGTCAGAGCATCAAGTAGCAACATTATGCCACTTTTACTTCTGAAACATTTGCTATCCATATTCATATGTTAATCTACATTTAGTTTTAACTTAATAAGTCTTTATTTGTATTTTATGTGTGTTTATTTCAGACAAGGTATATATAGCCCTGACTACCCTAGAACTTGCTATATAGACCAAGCTAGTCTTAAACTCACAGCATGCTGGGATTAAAGGCATGTGCCACCATACCCAGCTCTTAGTAAGTCATACAAGTCAAGAGAAGTTTCAGAAAACTAACGTTGTTCTCAGTTCCTTCATGTCATCTTTGCGTTGAGTCTCGTATACAGCAGAGCAGTGTGGTGGGGGGAACCTAGACAGATAAGCTGCTGCTTGGTTCCTGCCCTACTGGGATTCCAGCCCAAGACCGGAGAGCTCACCTTCAGAATCTCCTCACAGTCATTAGTACAGAAAATGATTTCTCTTTTTGTTTGCATTTATGAAAGAAGAAGAGTCATGTCTTATGCTTTCTTAAACTACAGAATGGGCTGAAAGAAGGTCTCAAAACAGTAAATCTAGCCCCTTTGCTGGACATGTAGCTCAGAGGTAGAACATTTGCCTACTATTCACAAGGCCCAGGTTTTCATTTCCAGCACCACAAAGAAAAGAAAGTCTAAGCCAGGCGGTGGTGTCACATGCCTTTAATCCCAGCACTCAGGAAGTAGAGGTAGGCAGATCTCGGAGTTTGATGAGGCCAGCCTGGTCTACAGAGTGAGCTCCAGGACAGCTAAGGCTACACAGAGAAACCCTGTTTGAAAATCAAAATTAATAATAATAATAATTATTATTATTATTATTATTATTATTATTATTTTGAGAAGCCAGGCGGGGTGGTGGCACATGTCTTTAATCCCAGCACTCGGGAGGCAGAGGCAGGCGGATCTCTGTGAGTTTGAGGCCAGCCTGGTCTACAGAGCAAAATCCAGGAAAGGTGCAAAGCTACACAGAGAAACTCTGTCTCGAAAAACCAAAAGAAAAAAAAAAGAATAATTTTGAATTTTCTCAGTTCCTGTGAGTTTTAGTTATTTTTTAAATTGTCTCAAAAATGAGTTGGTTGAATTTTGCTTAGAAAAACATTGCCGAGCATCACATATTTCAGGAAACGTCTATCATTCAATTCTACAGACTCTGGTTGGACCTTTATTTTCCCATCCAGTTTGGTTCGGTTTGGTTGGAGTCTTATGTAGCTCAGGCTGGCCTGTGTGGTAGCTGTGGAGTCAGTCGATGGCCTTGAGCTTCTGACACCCCTGCTTCCACTTCCAAAGTGCTAGGATTACAGATAAGCACCACTTGTTTGTGTGGTGCTGGGGGTGAGCTCAGGGCCTGCTGCGTGCCAGACAAGCACTCTGTCGACTGCCTTAGATGTCCAGCCCGCCCCTTCACTTCTGAGTACTGTCCTCCCCTAGAGCTCATGTCTTGTACTTTGATTTTCAGTAGGCGAGTCAACGCACGACGGCAAGTCAGGATCAGGTGAGAAGATCAAGAAGCGCGTGAAAACTCCGTACTCTCTTAAGCGGTGGCGCCCCTCCACCTGGGTCGTCTCCACTGAACCCCTGGACTGGGAGGTCAACAACAGCAGCAGTGACAGGGCCGTGCACTCTAAATCGAGCACTGCTGTGTACCTCGCAGAGGGGGGTACTGCCACAACCATGGTGTCTAAAGAGATGGGGATGAATTGTCTGTGAGGCGTTTTCAAGCTTACGGAGTCAAATTATTTTTTTGCATCATTTAAACGTGCAGAAGACATTTAAAAACAACTGCTTTACCCTGTCAGCACCCTCCCACTCATGCAACAGGACTTGCTTGAAATAGGTTCAGCTATGCAGAAATTTTAGCTTATGCTTCCATATTTTTTAATTTTGTTTTTTAAGTTTTGCACTTTTGTTTAGTCTTGCTAAAGTTATATTTGTCTGTTATGACCACATTATATGTGTGCATATCAAAAGTGGTCTCAAAATATTTTTTTAAGAAAAAAGCAAAAACAATGTATTGCTGATAATCAGTTTGGACCATTTTCTAAAGGTCATTAAAACAGAAGCAAACGAAGACAGGTTTGACTGCAGTGGTGTCTGGTATCCATGTTTTATTTCTGGGCACAAGCTAGTTTATATGTCGATGTGTTTTGAACATATTGTCTGTTGGACATTCTTCTCTCTCGTATTTTATTTGAATGTGCAATAGTCTTTAGACCACAAAGAAGCTTTCTCACTGGCTCTCTTCCTAGCAGGGCACACATCTTCCACAGTTGAAACGTTTCCTGTTCTTCGATAATATGAACAGTCTCTTGCTTTCTCCTTGGAGAGAATTCAGAGGCTCCAAGCAGGACTTCCCAAACCCTGTTCTGGAATGCCATTGTCTTTTAAACTCCAAACACGAAGTGTCTCCTTCCAGGCGTTTCAATAAGCATGTTGGTTCTGATTTTGGAAGTTCATGAGAGCGTAGAACAAAACAGAAGGAAGCAGATATTAGCCTTTCCATTTTATTTTTCTACGTGTGTTCACGTTCCATATTCATTTATTTAAGAAATACTTTTTATCAGAAAATTTATAGAGCCAAACTTACATGGAATTTTTAAGTAAGTAGATGGGCAGGGTGATAGAGTGTAGGAACTTTGATTTTCTGACCATCACAAATTAAATTTCATTTCCTGTTTATAATAACTTCAGAAAAAGTCATAGTTTTGAATTTATAGTATCTATTGTTTCCCAGCAAAGCCTGGCAGCTTTATGTGAAAACGGTTCCTCTTCCCATGACCTAAAACACTGTGTGGAAAGCTCAAGTCAACCAGCATGGCCAGTCCCCGGAAGAAGGGCTTGCTGCCAGACTGGAGACTGTCGGGCAGACTAAGGTTGACCCTCTGTCCTCTGCTAACTTTCTTTGCTGATCCTGTTTTCATGCTTTCTCCTTTTTACTGGCTTCACGTGCTCTCCACCTTGGAGCAGCATTTAGTATTCATGTTGTAGCCGAGCATGCCTTCTAGTGACGGCACTGGAAGTCACTGTCACCCTCCTTTGCTTCTTGTCACTAATGATCTCTGAAACAGGCTCTGTGTCTTTCAGAAAAGCACTTTCTGTCATTATGGGAATTTTCCCTAAACATTGTTTCCCGCCAGTTTGCAAACAAACTGTTCTCATGTTTTTACATTCTCAGAATCCTTAATATTCATTATCTAATTAAGTTTTACATTTTTGCAGGGGGAGATACAAAAGTTAAGTAGAAGTCTCCAAACTCCTGATTTTGGTCAGTTCTCATGTCTCAAACCCCATTTTCTCATCTGTAATCCTACACCCTTACCGTTTACTGAAGCCGGCCCACTTCCCCTTGTCCCAGAGCTGGTGACTTCTTGTCTGAGCCACCTTTACCTGCCATCTGCTCCGCTGCTCGGATGTGACAGCATTTAGAACATTTATTCAGCTGGATTGCTGACTATGGAGTTCTCAGTTCTTAGGATTAGGATTAGCTCATCGGTGCCCAGGATTCCCTTCTCCCTTTTGTGTTTTATTGGCCCTTCTGGTCGTTCAGATTGTTTTTGTTTTTTTTCGTGACAGGGTTTCCCTGTGTAGCCTTAGCTGTTTTGGATCTCGCTGTGCAGACCAGGCTAGCTTTGAACTTGGATTCTTAATATATATTTCTGTCTTCTGGCATACGGTTTCTTTCAGACAGTCACTATTTTCTAACTAAGTAACAAATAACTTGTGTCTTTCACTTATTTCTCTTGTCCAAATGGCTTTCAGATGCATTTCAGGATTTTTGTTTTTCAGTTGTGGGATGTTAAATCAGAGTAACTTATATCCCTTCCGTCTCTCGTCTGAAGCATTGAGAACAAACGACCTTGTGAGTCCAACTGTCTCTTCCAGTCAGAACACTGTCTGTCCTACAGGCTGCCATAGTTTGTATTGGGGGCAGTCAGCTGTGAATTCTCCAACAGTCTTTAATGATTAATACATTATAAAATGCTTTAAAAATTAATATGCCGGGGCTGGAGAGATGGCTCAGAGGTTAAGAGCACTGCTTGCTCTTCCAAAGGTCCTGAGTTCAATTCCCAGCAACCACATGGTGGCTCACAACCATCTGTAATGAGATCTGGTGCCCTCTTCTGGCCTGCAGGGATATGTGCAGATGGAAAGCTGTATACATAATAAATAAATAAATCTTTAAAAAAATTAATATGCCAAATTAAAAGAAACAAGTATAGTTTCCCATCTCATGCAGATATATTTAAAACAAATAATTCCTTTCACTGATATATGGTAACTGCTTGAAAAATAGGAAAGGTAGAAAGTAGAGGTCATTTTAATAAATTTTGAAAACCATACTACACAGTACACAAAAATCCCTTTAATAACTTCAATTACTTTTTAGCTTTATCTGATTCTTGAAGCTGACACTGAATTGACCACATTTCACATAAAAAAATTATTTTGAGGCCTTTTGAATAAAAGTCATTCAGTTCAAAAATATTTCCTTGGACAATAGTATAACCTTACTAGACATCAGAGTGTAGTGCTAGTCCCCTTAAGAAAGTGCCAGTTGTAGGGCTGGAGGGATGGCAAGGCGGTGAAGAGTGCTTGTTGCTCTTACAGAGGACCAGGTCCACTTCACAGCGGCTCTGTGGCAACTCACAGCTTCCCCTGCATCCAGTTTCCTCCCTTGGCCTCCACTGACGTACGCATAACACCCCCCACACACACCCACACACACAAACATACACATAATTAAAAAAATCTTAAAATCCTAATTGTATACCAGAACTAAGTAATGGAAAGAACTTGATTTGAATTATATATAGAATAAAATGATTTAAATTAAAACCTAAAAAGAAATGTAAATGTATAATTTGAAAAACACTGTAGAAATTTGTAAAAAGACATATACTGAAAACTGGCATGTACATACACTATTTTTTTCATCTTCAGAGTAATCATATTTTAATTCATACTCATATTTTACAGACGAGGAAACAAAAATTAAGAGAATTAATTTGTCCAAGTTTACCTGGGGTAAAATCCCAGGTCTGTTTCTGTACATCCCTTTCATCCACACCCATGGTTACATTCTTTATGGACGGATGTGTAATGAACTGACATTTTGTGCTCCAGCAGACTTTGTACTCCAGATTCCTTAATGATTTGAGAAGTTAGGTCAGCATAACAAAGTCTGTAATCACTGTTGCTTAAAAGACAATTACTAATTCAATACAAAATTCGACCTACATCTTAAAATCACTTCGCTTATCTCCTAATATTCTTACATTGCAAAACTAAAGGCAAAGTAAATTTTCAGAGAAAAGCGAAGGAAGCCATGGAAGCAGACTCCTAAAGTGATTCCATACTAGATTTGGAAACAGCAGTTAAATATACGTTTTCACTCTTCTTAACCCTTTGCCTCCATCTTTAAAATTTCTGCTTTAACAATGTTAGAAAAACTGTTAAGCCAGAGAACCAAGTAAGATGTAGAAAAAATACAAGATTATACCCTTTTTATAAGTCAGGTTGGTGTAGCTTCCTTCCATGTGTGTATTTGTTCCAGAAACGGTATGTTGGTTCTGGATGAGAAACCAGAGAAGGTACACTGGAGTAGTCAGTCGGTGGGAGGGAATTATCACAAATTTTGGCAGATCTTTTTATTTAAGATATTTTCAAGTTTGACTTCTAAATCCCAAAGGAATACCTGGTAGGCTGCAACTGTTATTCTGCACATTTAGTCTCTATTAACTAGTCATTTAAAATGGAAAAAAAATTCAATAAACGTTTGTTTCCTTTTTTTCATATTTATGGACATGAATATTTCATTGGGAGTCACTAGTATTTGATATTATATAATATTTTATACCATATTTTATAAGCCTATGTTGACTTAGTACTGGTCATGTGTATGACTATCCACAAGATTTTTTAAAAATATATGATTGCTTTATATCCCGAACTCCTTAAAAGATAGATTCTGAGTGCGTGCTAGTTGAGGTCCTAGACCGCCATTCTGGGAAGTGTGTAACACACCCGCAGGACCCCAGGAATCTCTTTTGGGCTATGATAATTTTCAGTATTCACACCCTTAACTACCAGTGGGCTGTGGTGCTTCTGTTTTCCAGGAGATAAAGTTGCATTTTAACTTTTTTTTAGATTATGAACTATGCAAACTTTGTCCAAAAACTACCTTACACGATCCCTTCCTAACCATGCTCGTTGGTTATGTGAGTCTAGCCGGCTACCTCCAGAGCGATGACGTACACAAAGGCTATTATCAAGAGGAGGGTCTCCACAGTGCCCACAGCAGCACAGGAGGGGCAGCAGCACCTGCTCTTCCTCTCGGAAAATCCCTCGTGGTTTGTGCTGTCTGTCTGTCCCTGCACTGTCTGACTGGCAGTTGTGTGTCAGGAAAGTTTCCTTCATGCCTCTTCCGTCTCTCTTGTTTGGTCTGAAGTGTCTCTCATCCCTGAGAGGGAAAAGAGAATAAATGGGCCTCCTCTCCAGCGCTCTTTAGTCGGCTTCCAGCTTCTCAGTTAACACTTCAGTTCATCACATAAAATCAGTCCCCTTCCTATAGGTCTTTTTCTCCTCAAATCTATTTTAATTACTTTATTTATATTTAAGAGCACATAAAATTCTATGTTATATTCAAATTAGTTGCTCCAGTTAATTTATAGCACAGTAGTTTGATAGAATTCAGAGTAAAGATGTTACCATTTGATTTGGATTTAATCATCAGACCACCCCAAAACCAGCACTTAATTTGTGTATTATCTACATTTACTATTGCATTGTATTTTATGATTTTATATCTGCACAGATATAACTAAAAAGCCATGCATATGTAATTGTGTATCATTTTCATTAAACTTTCACCTGTGTCGCAGTGAGTTTGAGTGTCACAATTGAGCCACAACTAATATTATACATGTTTCTTCATATCAAATACTGTATTAAACACTAAATGCAAAATAACCTTCAAAGCAGATCCTACAAAAATCAGGTATTATCCATGGATATTTCCGTCTTTTTGTCGACCACTTTTGAAATGCTTACCATTGTTTTTGCAGCATAGAGTGGGTGGACTAAAACAATTTTCATTTAACTTTTAAGTGGTTAAAGTTGGGTCTACATAGAGGGTAAATCTTTAAGATTTATCTCGTGGCATATAGGTTTGAAAGTAAATATTCGAGAAGCTGTACTGTATGTTAAAATTATGCCCCAAGTAAATCTATTGAATCTTTTTAAAAAACTCCAATTTATATTAGTACTATGATGTTTGAGGTGTTTCTAATGAACATTGTAAAGATACACATTCATTTGTAGAACTTAGTTTGCAGCCCACATTAAAATCTGGAGCAGGAAGAATCTTTAGAACTAAATTGCTTCATTAGGACGCCCAGTTTGTAACTGAATTTCACGAAAATTGACTGTACTTGAAGTTACAACTTGACTGTTTTTTCTTTTTAAAAGGTCCCCCCCCTTTTTTATTTGTATTTTCAATTTCAGAAATACCTTCCTGGTTTATAATCACTTTTAGACATAGTATTACTTAAAAACTCAGGGCCCCTTTTATCTGTTTGCACACTGAAAACGTTCAGTTGATGGCAAACAAGCAATTAGATCTAGTTGGATATTTAAAAGTGTTTGTTGCATAGTGATATGTCATCATATTATTTGACTTAATTCACATCAACATGATATTTGATTTCATTAATCATAAAAACTTGCCCAGTTCTGTAATTACTGAATAGAAGGAATGACTCAACTCATCGGCCACATGTTCCAGCAGATTTAAGCCTTGGCCTTAAAGCGCTGGCTTAAACACCTTCTGTTCTTGGTTGTGGTTGTACCTGACGGAACAAATGTTCATTTGGTTTTGTTTTTAATAACAGAGCTTAGGAAAGTAATTCTGAGATAGAATTTTCTTAAGAGATAATTAGCATTATAAAACTTTCTTCTAAAAGTGAGCTGATGACTAGCTTTAGTGATGGCTTGAGAAGGTGATCTATGGTAACCAGTTTTTCACACTGTCAGAGCCAAACAATTTTTCTTTAAGTCAGACAAACTTAAGCTCTAATTGGTCTGCTGTATATTTAACTCTTAGCAGTGGAGTTATTTGTGATCAGTCTCTTGTCTCAGGCTCCCTCCCTTGTTATCAGTCTTAAGTATATAAAAGAAACATTTGTGAGGATGTATAAGAGTAAGAAAAGTAATGACTAAAAAATGCAGTTCAAAGCAATTAGGTTTCAGCTTAATATTGAGTTGCTTGACTTCTGTGGCTTTTTTTTTTTTTCTTTCCTGGTAACATTTATTTATTTAAGCGATATTGTATGTTATGTCTTCATTTCTATAGAGATTGTATTGTATAAGTGTTTGTGTAAGCTGGAATCATCCTGAATTTTCTGTTGCTAATTTTTTCAAGTGAATTTACATGGATAACTGTAAAATACACTAACTCTTAGGGTGTGATAGCTGAAACGTGGAGATGTGTAGCTGCCGTGTTTTTTCTGAATGGACAGAAGAAACACTAGCTACCGAGTATTCATTTCTGAGGATGCCTTTTAGGAAAAGAAAGGCTGGCAGTGTTGGCCCTTCCTCAGAACCCTCTCGCTTGTTAACGGGTATCTTTTGTTGGTGTATTTTGTTCTTACATTGCAGATAGAATATCGTGTGTGAATTTATGAATAATTACTTTTCATTTATTTTGCTTTTGTATAAGCCATCTGAGACCTTGCTATGCTGTGTAAGTTGTGTTTGATGGAGCAGTGTGAGTATGAAATAAAGCAGATCACTTTCTTTTGTATTATCTATGGATGCCACTATGAACGCTGACATTAAGCCACTAAAGAGTTTTCTATGAATAAGTGTAAGTAAATGCTTTGATATATATAAACCTAAATAAAAAGATTGTATTGAGACAGAGACATTGGCAAAGGAAGTTTTAAGGCAGTTCTTTAGGTTTAAAAAGGCTTGCTGTAAAATGGTGCATTATTCCATTTATTAAAGATCATATTAATGACAACATTAATTTTTAAAAAGACTTATTTGTTTATGTATTTTGTGTGCATCGGTGTTTTGCCTGTGTGTATGTCTGTGTAAGGGTGTTGGATCCCCTGGAACTGGAGGTTGCAGGTGTTTGTGAGCTCCCATATGGGTGCTGGGAATTGAACCCGAGTCCTCTGGGAGAGCAGCTAGTGGTCTTAACTGCTGGGCCATCTCTCCAGCCCTGTAAGTATATATATATATATATATATATTTTTTTTTTTTTTTTTTTTTTTTTTTTGGTTTTTCGAGACAGGGTTTCTCTGTGTAGCTTTGCGCCTTTCCTGGAACTCACTTGGTAGCCCAGGCTGGCCTCGAACTCACAGAGATCCGCCTGGCTCTGCCTCCCGAGTGCTGGGATTAAAGGCGTGCGCCACCACCGCCCGGCTTTTTTAATCTTATGAGGTCTCCAGAAATTGTTATTGCTGATCTGATATCGCCGAGGCTTTTCAGTAGAGTCAGTCCGTGCTCTAACAGGACTTGTATAACTTAGTGTGGTATGAAATGTCAGCTGCAATTAGGATCATAGCTGCCGCCTTCTAGCTACTTACAATCTGCCAAACACCATGTTACTTACACTGTGTACAGCTGGCAGTTTTCACAGCTGTCTTGCAGATACGTGTTCTCTCTTTATAAGTGAAGAAATGGATGTTCAGAAATTTTTTTTTTGTTCTTGTTTTTTGAGACAGGGTTTCTCTGTGTAGCTTTTTGCCTTTCCTGGAACTCACTCTGTAGACCAGGCTGGCCTCGAACTCACAGAGATCCGCCTGGCTCTGCCTCCCAAGTGCTGGGACTAAAGGTGTGTGCCACCACTGCCCGGCAAGAAAATTTTAATACTTTTCTTCAAGCACTGTAGCTTGAGTTTTCCTGCCTGGCCCACAGTCAGGACAAATCTCTGTCACCACAAATCTCTGTCACCCGCCAGTCCCATAGCTGCTCAGACCCAACCAAGTAAACACAGAGACTTATATTGCTTACAAACTGTATGGCCGTTAGCAGGCTTCTTGCTAACTGTTCATCTTAAATTAATCCATTTCTATAAATCTATCCCTTGCCACGTGGCTTGTGGCTTACCAGCATCTTTACATGCTGCTTGTCATGGCGGCGGCTGGCAGTGTCTCCTCCCACCTTCCTGTTCTCTCAGTTCTCCCCTCTGTTAGTCCTGCCTATACTTCCTGCCTGGCCACTGGCCAATCAGTGTTTTATTTATTGACCAATCAGAGCAACAGATTTGACATACAGACCATCCCACAGCAAAGCACAGAGCGGGTAAGTAATGAATGGGATCCCAGTGATAGTTTGTACTTTGCTTGAACTACAGCCTTGGAACTTTGCTAGTGGCAAGGAAAGCTCATAAACGTAAATAAAGTCTGCTCCATGGTTAGGGTAGTCAAGTGGTTGGATGTTGCCCAAAGCCACCGGTGCTCAGGTTGTGGAGTAATCTTTTTGGTTAGATCCTTATGTTTTAGGAAGTTTCTTCTTCCTCCTCTGGTGTCTTTCTATGTTGTCCTGCTTCTGCCTCCAGAGTAGCTGGGACTGCAAGCTTCTGCTACCGTAACAGCTAGAACACTTGCTTAATAAGGGAACATGTGCTTGGGGAGCACATGTTGTGTCTGTCTCTAGATGGATTCGGTGTGTTGGCTACCTGTCCTGCAGTGGAATCCTGTACCAGTCTATGGGGCAAGCATGTTCAAGGGGTGTGCTTTTACCCTGCCAGCTGCCAGGGGCATTTCTTCTGGGAGAACAAATGCAGCCTGCTCCCATAGACCCTGGTGTCCTCTTCAGTGATGATTTAGGGGGCATAGATTTGAGGTATCTTTTTTTTCCTTTTGTCTCTAGTCCGATACGCAGTGTTACAGAGACACTACTAGAGTTCTATGGAGATAGAACCTGCTGTGGGGTGTGTAAGATGATGGCTGTATATTCTCAAAGGAAATGTGGTAACTTAGGATAAGCATGTAATAATGACCCATTGGACCTTTTAATGACTTACCAAAAGAAAATTAATTCTCATTTGTGCCTATCTGGTCTGTCTCCCCAGTTTATACTCCTCTGCAAGGAACTACCTTCGGCCAGTGATTAATCTTCTCTGTTCTATAGTGCTTTTTAAAGGCCAAATTCTTCATTCATTTATTGGTATGATTTATTCTTCAGAAATGAAAAGATGAACTGAGAGATAACGAAAAGTATGATATAACTCCTCCAGAAGGAGAGAGGACTCATGGTGGTGTGTGATTGTCCTAGGGAAGCACAGGGGAATGCCTGTTGGCACTGATAGGACACCAGCTGACCAACGAAGTGACGGTGCCCGAACAGTGAGTTCACTGGGATCACACGTAGTAAACAGTGAGTTCACCGGGATCACCCACGCAGGAGCTGGAGTGGTTCCTGAGCAGGTTCTCCACCAAAAGACCCCAAAGACAACCGATAATAAAAATACAATAGTTAGCCAGGTGGTGACACATGCCTTTAATCCCAGCACTTGGGTGGCTGAGCCAGGCGGATCTTCGAGGCCAGCCTGGACTACAGAGCGAGATCCAGGACAGGCACCAAAACTACACAGAGAAACCCTGTCTCCAAAAAAACAACCAAAACCAAACAAAGTCTTTAGAAATATAAAGAAAGGGGAGCTAGAGAGATGGCTTGGAGGTTGAGAGCACTTGCTGCTCTCTCAAAGGACCTGGGTTTCCTAGTTTGCATCATGGTGTTTCAACTATAACTCCTAGTCTATGGAAACTGACACCTTCTAATGTCTGTGGGCACCAGCTATGCATACGATGCACAAACATACATGTAGTTAAAGCAGTCATACAAAGAAAATTATTTTTTTTAATTTATTTCATGTGCATTGGTGTGAAGGTGTTAGATCCCCTAGACCTGAAGTTACAGAGATTTGTAAACCACCATGTGGGTGCTGGGAATTGAACTCAGGTCCTCTGGAAGAGCAGCCAGTGCTCTTAACTGCTGAGCCATCTCTCCAGCCCCAGAAAATTGTTTCTTCAGGGAGGGAAAGAGTTTTGAACATTAGTGTGTGACAGACACTGGAGATTAAAAACACCCCTGCGGGGGCTGGAGAGACAGCTCCTCAGTGCAGACACTGGCTGCTCTTCCACAGGACCCAGGTTCCATCTGCAGCACCCATGTGATAGCTCACAACCATCCACTGATCACAGCCAACTCCAGTCCCAGGGGATCAGATGCCTCTTCTGGCCTCCAGGGCAGTGTACAGACATGCATGCAAACACCCATACACATAATAAAATAATCTCTTTTAAAAGCCCACTTCAGTCTTAATGAATTGGGCAGTTTCCCGTTAATGACAGACCTTAGATATAGGTAGGAATTAGTTAAGAGGAACACTGGTCCTCCTGGATATAGGTAGGAATTAGTTAAGAGGAACACTGCCACTTCCACACAGGTAATTGTTTTTGCTTGGTTGGGGTTTTTGTTTTTATTTTTGTTTTTTACTCTTTGCTCTTTTGGAGGCCCACCACCCAGCTCCCAAATAAATACACGGAGACTTATTCTTACTTACGAATGCCCAGCCTTAGCTCGGCTTATTTCTAGCCAGCTCTTCTTAAATTATACCGTCTACCTTTTACCTTTCTCGGTTTTATACACCTTTCTTTCCCTCTTACTCTGGCTGGCTGTGTGGCTGGCCCCTGGCGCCCTCCTCTCCTCCTTTTTCTTGCTCTCCCTCTTCACATTCTTCTCCTCCTATTTATTCCTGCCAGCCCCACCTGTCCTTTATCCTGCCTCACTATTGGCCATTCAGCTCTTAATTAGACCATCAGGTGTTTTAGGCAGGCCAAGTAACACAGCTTCACAGAGTTAAACAGATGCAACATAAAAGTGTGCAACACATCTTTGCATCACTAAACAAATACTCCACAGCATAAACAAATGCAATACATCTTAAGCTAATATTCCACAACATGCACGGCCCTGGGTACTGGAGAATGAGCTTCTGCAGGGAGGGGGAAAACCTTAAGGCTGGATTGAGAAGTTAGGCATGGTGGCTTCCATCTGTACTGCCAACACTCAGGAAGCTACAGCAGAATTGTTGAGCCCAGCATACCAATCTGTGCAACACAGTGAATACCCATCTCAAAAAATTAAATGATGGGCAGATGGGGAAAGTGCTTGCCGTACAAGTGTGGAGACCTGAGTCCAGATACCCAGCACCCAGCTGGCTGTGGTACGCACATGTAACCCCAGGACAGGGAAGGTAGAGGCAGGAGGGTCCTGGAGCCTGCTGATCAACCATTTGAGCCAAACCAACGAGTTCCAGGTTCCGTGGGAGATCCAGTCTCAAAAATGAAGTGGAGAAGCCGATTAAGAAGACTCCTGACGTTACCCTGGCTTGAACACACACACCACAGCGAAGAGTAGGGTTGAGGATGTTGAATGGGAGGACAGAGAGAGGAGAGGGAGGGGAGGGAGGGGGAGAGGGGGTGGGGGTGGGGGATGACACAGCTCTCCCAGACAGGTGAGCATGCAAGTCTGGACTCACCCTGGGAGTCAGGGAAAGAATTTACTCAGCAGGTTTCAAAGCAGCTGACCCTATTGGTAGTGTAAAGAAAGGGCTGAGAGGAAGGGATTGTGAATAAAGTCGTGAAGACAAGCACTGACAGGAGACAGTGAGAGCCTGCACAAGGTGAGTCAGTGCTGGAAGGGAGGCAGCAGCAGGCCGGATCAGAGCGAACGAGATCAGAAGGCCCAGCGTCTGGGGTCTGGTGAGGCCAGGAAATGATCGTCTCTCAATGGGGGCGAGAGAAGTCTCAGTGTTCACATGACAGAGGTTAGCTTTAGAAGTTCTGATACATCCTGTTATTAAAATCAAATTTGGGGCTCCAAACACACATGCAGTCACTGTTCACCTATTATTTCTGGAGAAATGTCTCAAGAATAGGGCTTTCCTGGGTAAGACGTGGGAAGTCAATTTGTTTTGAGAAGGTTCATATTTTTAGATGGATGTTTTG